TAAAATAAAAAAGATATTGAGGTACTGAAAATATTATAGAGACCAGTCGGTTAAAAAATGTTAAATGAACGTCAAACTTTAAAGAGGAAATACTCAAGTTGCGGCTATAATGAGACTGTTTATTGAATACCGACGTAGGGAACGCGCGGAAACGCCTAGACTGGACGTTTCGCTAATTGAAGCCGTTTGTTAACTAAACGCTACATAGTTATGCTTTTATTAAATCCGCCGACGAAAAAACCAAAGAGTATTTAGCGGTAACACTTCACATTGTGTTTTTAACTTTATAGACAGAGCATGCAAGCTATTTGATGATAAGCGATCACGATGGTGGTTTCTCGTGTGAGAATTGCGCATCGTATCGCAAAATAGTCTAGTAACATTCGAACGTATAGTTTTAAGAGAGTGGTCAGGCCACTTAGCTTGTTATCGTCTTAAGACAGTGCGGTAGATAACAAGGCTGTTTGCATCCAAGCACTAAATAGATTCGCCATGGCTGAGCAGGTGTTTGTTCGGAAGCAGGGTTGATACAACGTGCATAGACCCAGATGAACTCAACGGTTGCGATGTAATATTGACACAGTTGGCACGTTCCGTTGCTACTGTGAATTGTTCTATTTCAATTTACAATGTTCGAATAGCAAGCATGGCGTACCAAAGCTTTGGTCTCGTAAATAATACTACGGTTGAATCCAGAAACTCACATTTTTTGAAGTGAAACTTCCTTATCGGCGTTGGAAAAAAATTTACCGTCACATTTTTCGGTTACGCGTCACATTTTTCCGTTACGCGCCATCTTTTTTGTATTCATGTCTATGATAATAAAATCCTTTTGTTTAAACTTTATCTAATTTAACTTTTTTGTATTCATGTCTATGATAATAAAATCCTTTTGTTTAAACTTTATCTAATTTAACTTTATTTAACCAATTTCTAGAAAGTTGCATGTAGATCATTTTTCGAAAAATAAGGCCATAAAGAAGTTTCACTTCTTACGTGTGTACACTAGTACACGCACACATTTTTTTAAGTGAAACTTCCTTATCGGCGTTGGAAAAAAATTTACCGTCACATTTTTCGGTTACGCGTTACATTTTTCCGTTACGCGCCATCTTTTTTGTATTCATGTCTATGATAATAAAATCCTTTTGTTTAAACTTTATCTAATTTAACTTTTTTGTATTCATGTCTATGATAATAAAATCCTTTTGTTTAAACTTTATCTAATTTAACTTTATTTAACCAATTTCTAGAAAGTTGCATCTAGATCATTTTTCGAAAAATAAGGCCATAAAGAAGTTTCACTTCTTACGTGTGTACACTAGTACACGCACACATTTTTTTTAATAATAGTCAATATCTACTAAGAATTGTACTTCAACTATAAATACTAGGATAGGAATAAAGTCACTAACTCAATGTTATTTTCTTTTTAGTAAGAAATAACAACAATTGTGTCAATTAGCACAGTATAATCTGACCGAGTATTAGGTTTAGCATATACAAAAGCTTATCGACAACACTTTCAAAGTTCATTGGTTTGTAGCAAGCTTCGTAATAATAAGATTCCTGAATGTTTGACAAACAAAGACGAGACTGTTGCCAGCTTCATAATAATAAAGATTGACATACATTTGACAAGCAAAGATGAGATATAAGTTTTAACTCAAGATCAACAATCAGAGCTCACAGCTATCAAACCGTGGCATTCAAACAACAGCTACTATTATAAGGCAGCAGCTTGGCTAAGCCTCTGACAGCTATTGGCCAAACACCCAGTTACATAGGACAAATTGTGAAAACACCTCCACCACTGACAAATCCTCATTACTTTAAGTCGAAATTCCCAGAAAGACGTACCTGTGGTTCTGGTTTTTTGACCTGGCTATTGTCAGACTATATCATGTTAGATCCTGTGGACAATAATTACGAACATTTTTCCTAGGGCACATTATTTATCCGAAAAGTAGTTTTTAATTGCCAATTGTTGGAAATAGGCTTGCTGCCGAGTTTGGCTAGTAATCACCATCGCCCGTTGACACCATCAATACCAGTCGTACGACCGTGTTGCTATCTACCTTATTACTCTTCTCAATCTCCTTTGACCATAAACCATACATAGCACGTCATTGACATTACACTGTCGAAGATAAATCATTTGAACTCACTACGTTTCTCTACTGAATATACAAAGACCATAGTGATGTATTCACGAACCTAACAATAGCAACACCGGTTAATAAAACAAACAACAAAATCTTTAACATCTGGCAACACTGTTTTCATGTGTTGCAATACTAGCTACAATAATTACGTACAGCCCGCTCCGAAATGTTAAACTCTACCGCACGCGCGGCCCAGTTTACTGTTTAACTAGTATCCTACAAAGAATAGAAATAACTAAATGATGCAATTAAAATAGGGATGTTTAATTGTTGGAATCATACCTCTATGATTTGCGTTCGTTATGAGTGAATGTTAAATGTTCTAGTTCTATTTGTAATGTTTAGTTGTTTGGCTACGAATTTTGATTGCAACAGACCAACTGAATGTTGAAACACGTCCATCAAAGAAATTATCGTCAATACTATTCGATTTGAATGTAGTCGAGCAAAAGGTATGATGATGTAAACTTCTTATCTGATGTTAAGTTTCCGCAACACAAACAAGGTGTTAGCAGATCGTTCTCTAAACTGAGATTAGAGTAAAGCATAAAAATATTATTATTCATTTACCAAATCATAAATACTGTTTGTTTGACATTTCGTGAACCCGCAATGGATTACGAAGGTAGATTATATTTTGCTGTTCATGGCACGCAATGCAAGACACATTCTATTCTCATTCCATATTCGATTTATAGTGTTATTGTGGTAGAAATCAGAGTCTTTATTTACGAGAATGGTTCTCTGCGCGTAAACCCCGTGTATGCTACAGCGTGAACTTCAGCGTCGAACTAGAGATATAAATCAGAATGTTTATTATTCAAACAAGCCTCCACAGGCGCTTTTAAGCCTTCGTGACTTCACCATCGATTCGGAATGCAGACAACACACTAAAATTACAAATGATTATTAAATCAGTACATTGGAGAAGGATCACGTGACCTAGAAAAGACAGGTCACACGCATTAACGCACACTAGTTCGTATTGTTGCTAGGTTATTAACATGAGGTCAATGATTGAGACAAGTGATCCCAGCCTGCACCGCTTCAACACATACGTATCACAAGTAACAAATATTTAATCTTACAATAAAATACACAAGAAAACGTGCAACCAAAAAGGAACTTTTAACTCAATAAAACAGTCAATCGGTTTTATCTTCAAACATAATTTAGTATTGCAAACTGCCTCCGTCTGAGATAATGCGTTATCAAGAGTCAGTTACATTAGTGTAAGGATTAAATAGATTGTGTTGATGCGTCGACCCTCGCGATTCGAATTAAAAATTAAAAAAATAAATAAAAAGACATTATCGGGCGCAAACTTGAATGAGCTAAATTTAAGTAGTGACCAAAACCCATAGACATCAGGACTCAAGTGCCGCCATACACTGCTTTCATTGCAAAACTAGTGTCTCATCCTTCTAAACAGAACACAGATATAAGCAGTAAGGGGGCCACCAGCAGGGCTCACAGTACGCTCTGCCCCCCACAAAAACAGATTAGGGATCGCATTACGCCGATTCAAAACTCAAAGAACGCTACTGCTCTTTTCTCGGCTTAGCCACCAAACTCTTACCATGAATTACTGAGCGTACAATTATTCACATAGCGGTACCACTGTTTGCATCTTTTTGCTGAATTATATATTCCGGTTCGAAAGATAGGGGAACCATGACTCCAGTCCCGACTTGCACCTTTCGGCTGAAGGGGTGTAGGATCACACACACATGCTTAATAACGTACGTGGCGTGCTACCTGGCTACGTAATGCAAGGTGTCATCTTCACCATTGCACGCTTGTGGGAAAAGGATATTGGGACGACAGTCCAGTTGTAACGGTCATACAGCGAACACAGTTCCTCTTAGATAGCTATAATAAAACTGTATGTACCTATTGTATTTTCCGTAAATATACAAGTGTGTGAGTTAATAACGACTTTCATTTACAACAACTGGGCTCATCCTAAACTGGTGACCCCGACGCGATATAGCAAATAAGAAAACAACCATCATGGTGCAGGTTTCCAATACTCCTCCACCTTTTTTTTATTTTTTATTTATTGCTTAGATGGGTGGACGAGCCCACAGCCCACCTGGTGTTAAGTGGTTACTGGAGCCCATAGACATCCACAACGTAAATGCGCCACCTACCTTGAGATATAAGTTCTAAGGTCTCAGTATAGTTACAACGGCTGCCCCACCCTTCAAACCGAAACGCATTACTGCTTCACGGCAGAAATAGGCAGGGCGGTGGTACCCACCCGCGCGGACTCACAAGAGGTCCTACCACCAGTAATTACACAAATTATAATTTTGCGGGTTTGATTTTTATTACACGATGTTATTCCTTCACCGTGAAAGTCAATCGTGAACATTTGTTGAGTACGTATTTCATTACAAAAATTGGTACCCGCCTGAGATTCGAACACCGGTGCATCGCTCAACACGAGTGCACCGAACGTCTTATCCGTTAGGCCACGACGACTTCATTCTCGCATTGCTCATGTCTGAGGGTCGTGACCACCTCCTCCCATTATCCTTCTCTGGATGATGTTTCGCCATCTTCCTCGGTTCTCGGCGGTGTGTGGGGAATCGTAGACTATGGTATCCAGAGTGGTGCGGATTTGGTTGGACCAGCGCATTAGATTGCGGCCACTAGATCTTTTGCCTGCAATCTTGCCATCAATTGTCACCGCTCTTTCTGGCAATGTGACTGAAGAACTGAATTATCCTGTTGACGCAGATGGTAGAGAGCCTGGTTTGGATATTGAGCTGTCATAATATGGATGCGTTTTAATTCTAGGTGCTTCGAATTTCTGTCTTCTTGTTCCAGGTTGCAATTGTTCCTCAATCGGTGCTGAAGGCAACTCGTGCGACATACGAACGGGCCAGTGCCGCTGTAAGTCCCACGTCACCGGCAGAGCCTGCGATGTGTGTGACGTGAGTTCAAATTAAATTTTTTAATCCTTTCTTACTGCCTAACAATAATACAATGCGCCGTAAATTTATTTAAGAATCTCGAGACCAAAGAAAATACGACGGAAAATTAATAAACACATTACAAGTGTTATAGTAAGTTATATGTTCAAATGCTATATTTTAATTTTTATTGCCTACTAGCGACCCGCCCTCGCTCCGCTTTGGAAACATTAAATTTTATTATTGATAGCTGAGTCCCGCGATGTTACCCGCGGTTATTGTCGTACCGGGGGTAAAGCCGCGGGGCCAAGCTAGTCTAAAAAAGTCTAAGTTACTCCTTATATCATCAGCTACCTACCTATCAGTGAAAGTCCCGTCAAAATCGGTCCAGCCGTTCCAGAGATTAGCCGGACCAAACAGACAGACATACAAAAATTGTAAAAAATGTTATTTTGGTGTATGTACCGTATATATATTCATATGCACGTAGTAAAAAGAAGCTATTTCAATATTACAAACAGACACTCCAATTTTATTTATATGTACAGATGTAGGCAAACGAGTATACGGCCCATCTGATGGTAAGTGGTGTCCGTAAATAAAAGCGAATATATCTAATGAATGTAAAGTCGAAAAACAATTGAACTCTGTGTTGCCGACGCAATACAAATTCGAATTAGTAATGGAAGCCGTTAACCCAGATAGATACGTGTGCAAAGCGAAATGTCAACGAGACGCTTCCAGGTGCTAAGTTCGTTATCATTTCAGTAAACGTTAGGAGTACAAACTTTTATTACCCTAACTTTTATTACTCTCACTGGTGGTAGGACCTTTTGTGAGTCCGAACGGGTAGGTACCACTACCCCGCCTATATCTGCGTTTCAGTTTGAAGGGTGGGGCAGCCGTTGTAACTATACTGAGACCTTAGAACTTATATCTCAAAGTGGGTGCCGTATTTACATTGTAGATATCTATGGGCACCAGTAACCACTTAAAACCAGGTAGGCTGTGAGCTCGTCCACCCATATAAGCAATAAAAAAAAGAGGGCGGTTGAGCTCACGGCTATCCTGTTATTAAGTCACCGGAACTCAGATATCATAACCTGTATAGGGGTGGCTTTATCTTAAAAATAGGTCTTACCCTTTAAACCAATCAAAACAGTCTTCAAATAATAAAAACAAAACCACAATGTTATCATTCAGAAACACTAAAGATTGCTTCGGACTTGATTCGTTTATTTCGATTTATGCTTCAGATCACCCGCATAAAATCCACGCAATTTCCTCCCAATACGAATTTACAATGCGACAGCTGTGTTTATTGTTTCGTATAAACGGAAATTCAAATCAGAATTCACCGGTTTTAGGGCATTGTGGTGGCGTATTAGATATGGCTGTGCACCGTCCGCGTCATGCCTAGAGCCGACTCGGAGCATTCTTGCGTCCTAGTTTGAATAATAGGACAGTTATGCGCGATATAAAATTGAGGATTCTTGAACTTACTTCAATAAACCTTCGGCTTACACGATATATAGATATAGTATAAGTATACTCTTTGATTTTCCCCTCGCGGCACACGTAGAAAAGTTGTTCCAATTCCATACAAAATTGAGTTAACTTTAACGCGATCGAGAACGTTAAAAAACTCGCACTAAGCACACAGAATTAAAATTACTTTCACGATTTCATCTCGAGCTTACTATTTACTATATTCACTATATTCATAGCGTTTTTAAAGCTATTGCATAGCTTTTATCGCGGACCTTGAGCGCGGCGACCGAATCGTGAAATTCCGTAACGAAAAAAACCTAACACCCCTCACTCCGCCTACCATGTAGCTCGCGTTCAACACATTCGCACGTTGCGCTTGTGTAGTGTTTGCGAATAAGCACGTGGCGTGACGTCAAAGTGCATGCGCATCATGAAAAGTCTGCCCATCTCTCTCTCGCGTGGTCTAGCTTATGAGTGTGAAAGGGACAGTTAAGGTTTTGCTTTTATTAATGTTTAATATAGCGTGGTCTTGTTTTATTATTGTTTTAATATTAAATTATCATTGTCTAATTATAATTGCATAAGTTAATAAAAAATGCTATGCAATAGCTTTACCGCGGCAGTTCCCGAGTGCCACACGTTTGTTTTTTTTTGTGCCGTTTCGAATAATTTACTCTCCAGCGACCACAAACAGTACTTTTAATTATTATACACAGAAGTAATACTTAGTAAGTAATACTTCTGTGCACGAGTATCGAATACTGAGGCACATATAGACACTAGAACATCAAATATAACTAAAGACTAAGGTTGACTCCTTCGAACGGAGCAGGACTTAGGAAAAATTAAAGTTATGAAAATTCTGCAGTCGAAATTAGTTTCAAGTGTCAATTGGGAGTAACTCCAAACTAAACCAACCGAGTTCTGTTCTTAACAGGAAGGCTACTGGGGCTTGGACAGAGGTGGCTGCAGACGGTGCGAGTGTGGGTCTGGCGCTTCGTCATGCGACCCCGTGACGGGAGTCTGCGCCTGTGCCACGGGGGTCGGCGGAGTGCAATGCGACCGATGCTTACCTGGATACTACGGCTTTGGACCTGCCGGGTGTTTGCGTAAGTTTACTTCTTATTAATAATAGTGTGCGTTGCCAGTGATGACATATGACACTGAGACGTGGTCGCTCACAATGGGCCTTATGAGAAGGCTCAATGAGGAGATTCGCAGGAAAACCACGGTAACCGATATAACTCAAAGGATTGCAACATTGAAGTGGCAGTGGGCAGGACACATTATTAGTAGAACGGACGGCCGTTGGGGCCAGAATGCTCTTGAGTGGCGACCGCGTACCGGAAGACGTAGCGTGGGTAGGTCTCCCACAAGATGGACCGACAAGCTATAGAGGTTCGCGGGGATCCACAAAAAACTCGGAGCAATTTAAAAATTTTAGCTTCTATACTTTTCGTTCAAAAGAACCAATATGTTTTCTCTTCCACAGTTTGTCCCGTTTGCTCGGAAGGAAAAGTTTGCTCTCCGACTAGTGGTCGTTGCGTGTGCCCCGGAGGGTCGTTGGGCCCGGGCTGTAAACAGTGCGCGCGTGGGTACTGGGCCACGTCGCCAGGACACTGCCGGCCCTGTGCTTGCGGACAAGGAGCTCTAAACAGTAAGTATTACACCAAAGATAATTTCATTGCAAACTCAATACAATCTGTGATAAATGAAATGAAAAAGCTTTGGAATGAGCCTCCCCTCTGTGGTGTTTCCCAAGTGCTATGACATGTCCTTCTTCAAAGAGGCATGTGGAATGAACTTAACGGTAGGCAGGGTCTTGGCTCTGCCTTTGGCATTGCTGATGTCTATGGCCGACGGTAATTCACACATTATCATGACTCGTTTCGAAAATAATTATGATTCCATTAATCTCAGTTTTCATGTCGTTCGTGACCTCTCTTGACAAATCTTGTTTTTTTACTCGTTCAGATAACTGTAATCCACAAAGCGGGCAGTGCAAGTGCAGACCTGGCTGGGCTGGGCTCGTCTGCGACGTATGCGCGTTCGGACACCACGGACCCAAATGCAAGCCGTGCGACTGCAACCTCGCTGGCTCGAAGGGCTGTAGCTCGGACTTGTGCCCTTGCGATAACCGGGGAAGATGTAATTGCAAGGTAAATTTAAAAGCCTGTATTATTTAATTGCAGAAAACCCGCAGATGCTCTATATACTGAAATTAGCGGGATCAAGTGGATAATGAACTCCATAAACATCCCAAAGTGTAAAATTCAAGATTATATGACTGCTTTCTAACACACATATGGATTATTTACATTAATATAGAATTGGGCTCGTGGTGTATAAAAAAATACTCCACTGTTGCACTTTTATTGTTATTTTCTAAAATCTTATATTATTATAATTAAAAATTAAGTGACACCTTTTTTACTCTCTGTAATTTTTTTTTCTTTTTTTACCGTTTTCTTTCCCGTTACCTCATGTCTTGATGCTCCGTGCAACACTCTCTTCATACGTGCCGTTGTTACCAATCCTACATGAATATATTAATGGACGTAACTTATATTATTATTGGTGGTAGCTTTTTGTTATCTTGTAAGGACAGTATAAAACATTGATATTGAACAGGAGAACGTTGTGGGGGAGAAGTGCGAGAAGTGCCTCGAAGGCACGTTCGGTCTGGCCGCGGAGAACCCCGTCGGCTGCACGGCTTGCTTCTGCTTCGGTCGCGCGGCGCAGTGCTCGCAGGCGGAGCTGGCGCGGGCCGCCGTGCACGCGGCCTCGCCCCTACACATAGAGCTGCAACGATCCAAAGACAATACTGCCATCACCACCGTGAGTAGCGTCCTTTATTTATGTACTAGGTACTAGCTGACCTGGCAGACTTTGTAGTGCCTCAATCCATAAATAAAAGATCTAAACTTTTGTATAAAATAAACTTAAAACAAACAAAAGGAATCCGTCCGACGGGGGACACATCAAAGGGAAAACAAAATTGTTATTTTTATTTCTATGGTTCCGAGCATTTTCATATTTATCCGTCACAGGTTCAAAGAGTCTTCGATGATAAGCAGCAAACCTATCATTGCCGGCCCCCTGGCATTACAGATATCCATGAGCGACAGAAATTACTTGTCATTAGTTGAGCCGTAAAAACAATTGACTGATTAGCTAATAAAAAACTGTCTTCACGAACTTTATCTATCTTTGTTCAGATGGACCAAGATTCTCTCTTAGCGATTCACACGCACTCGCCCGAAGCCACCATCAGCCTGCCATGGCCACCGGCTCCGGTCTACGTGGAACTCGACAAGCGCTTCCTTGGGGATCGAGTGACATCGTACGGTGGACTCATCAAGTTTCGAATAGAACAAGAGGGGGGAGTGGAACTAGATCCAGAAGTAAAGGCCAAGTTTCCATTAGTCAGGATATATGGAAAGAACATTGTGCTGGACCATTACGAGGTATGAAAAGATGTGTTTTTCATCCGCCTTAGTTGTTTATTGTTATTTGGTTTTGCGTTTGGTACTTGAAAACGATGAGCAGTGAGGTATAGTACATGCTGATATATTCGTCCTCCTAGAAGCCTCCTTCCTGATCCTCCTCCAACGTACCTGTAGTATTGGCTAATACTATTTCATTTGATGGGCTCGAACTGTAACCACCAAGTCAGTCGTAGCCACTTTGCCTTCTTTTTTTTTATTGCTTAGATGGGTGGACTAGCTCACAGACCACCTGGTGTTAACTGGAGCCCATAGACATCTACAACGTAAATGCGCCACTCACCTTGAGACAAGAGTTCTAAGGTCTCAGTATAGTTACAACGGCTGCCCCACCCTTCAAACTGAAACGCATTACTGCTTCACGGCTGAAATAGGCAGAGTGGTGGTACCTACCCGTGCGGACTCACAAGAGGTCCTACCACCAGTAAGAGTCCTAACACCTGTCTCCTGTGATATCAACACCAGGACAGGTCATAAGATACTCATGACTCTTGGTAATGTTATTCAAAAGAATATGAACTCAAGTAGGTAATTCTCGTCTTACTTCCAACCAGCACGTGCCTCCTTTAAACGGGAGTTACTCGATCCGTCTCCACGAGTCGCTCTGGTGGGTCCGCGGCCACAACGCGCAGAGCTCCCGCGCCGCGCTTATGCTGGCGCTGCAGAGGGTCGACAGGATCCTGCTGAGGGTCACCACGAGAGCGCCCAGCTATGATGAGCGCGTCCATGCTTTGTGAGTAGTCTATAACAGCAGGCTTCTTACAATAATAATACGATTCTGTAAGAAAATACAAGTTTTTTGTTTTAATGTAGTTCGCAATTCATTGATACAGGTCGGAATAGATATGTTGACAAATCCTTTTTATATGATTTAATCATTAAGTGTAAATTATTATATTATACATTTTAGTTTAAAACATATCACGCATATGGCTTTACTTCATATTGCTGTATCATGAAATGAAATTCATAATTTACACAAAATCTATCTAATATATAAAATTCTCGTGTCACAGTTTTCGTTGCCATACTCCTCCGAAACGGCTTGACCGATTTTGATGAATTTTTTTGTGCTTATCCGGTATCTATGAGAATCGACTAACATCTATTTTTCATCCCCCTAAATGTTAGGGGTAGTCCACCCCTAAATTTTTTTTTTAAATTTTTAGACAAAATTTTTAATTTCTATTTTTTTATGATACAACATACAAAAATACATATAATCCTCAATTTTCACCCTTTTACGATCAACCCTTATTTTTTATTTGCTAATTAAAAACTAAATTTTTTTGCAAGAATTTTGTTTTTATTTTGTCATGACTTAGAATAAAAAAAATCATATTACTCTGAAATTTTCACCCCTCTACGATCAACCCCTATTTTTTATTTGTTAATTACAAAATTTTAAATTTTTTGGCAAGATTTTATTTTTTATTTTGTCATGACTTAAAATAAAAAAATATATATATTACTCTCAATTTTCACTCTTATACGATCAACCCCTATTTTTCCATCCCGATTTTTATTTTTTTTATTCTATGCACAGATCCGCAATAAGGTTGCAAGATGGCAATCAAATATTATAATTGTAGTACGATAAATTCTTATTTCAGAGTTTATAATTTCAAGTTCCTTTAATTATGATTTTTTTTTAAATTCAATCGATCAGTTATCCCCGCCAGGTGTCACCACTCATCCAGCAAACATCACGTAGTAGGGATGAGGACGAAGCCGGTCTCCTGTCTTACTCACTATACATTTTTCAGCCATGTTTCTTTGGTTTTATTTGTGTATCAATCGTAGCTTGCCAGCCATGTTTTTTTGGTTTTATTTGTGTATCAATAATATGTTCAGTAGGTCTGAGAATCGGCTACTATCTATATTTCATACCCCTAAGTGATAAGGGCTGTCCACCCCAAACATTTTTTCTTTTTAATTTTTTTTCTTTGTTATAATGAGGTATAGTCCCCGGCACGTAACTTGGCAAGAGTCGCTAGATGCGCAGAAGTCGTTTTTTAGTTCTCTTTGGTCTCTTTGGTTGTCAAGCGGGACGCGGGGAAGGACGTAGCACCGTTCCGAGCGCGCGATTGGTAAGTCAGTCGACCCTCCCCTCCCGCACCGCGTCCACGTTCCGTTCGCTCCCGGTTACACATGCGCCTACTAAAGTTGTAGGAACCCTTTGTTTATATTGAGTTTTTGTTACGAGTTGTTATTATTGTTTTAAATTTAGTTTTTGATACGAGTATTATTGTTTTAAATTTGCTTGCAAATACCAATGACCATAATTATAGTCGATTCAGTCACTGAGCGTTTTATTATTTACGCCAGTGACGACAGCGACTCTTCGTTATGTCGACGATGAGGAGCCAACTCCTTCCACCAGCTCAGGTGCTACCATAAATTTAATCCAAGGGGTAGCACTATTAGAAAATGATAGTGACGACGGCGACACATAATTTTTAATATTAAGTATATTTTTTTAAATAAATTTTTTAACTTTTAATTGTATTTTATTTATAACACCTAATACACTTCACGAATTCCTCTCTTTTCTTTAACTTTCTTCTAAACACACAGGCTTAAAAATAAATTATGGCAAATAAAAAATTTAATAAAATAAAATAAACATATATGCGGGCAATAGAAGTGACCATTTTTTTGTTGCAATGTACACTATGCGCGACATTACCCCCACTACACCAAAACCTTGCCAACTTACGTGCCGCTTACTATATTATGTGGTTGAATGAGGTTTTTGAGAATTTTATATATTAGACTAGAATTTCCCTAGAAATCTTATTTAAGGCAACACAACGTTTGCCGGGTCAGCTAGTACTAATATATAAATCTACAGTGGTTTTTACGGATGCTCTGTTATAACTACTGACCATGTGTCTGCTTGACTTGAAACTTGGTATCCATGTAGAAAATACATGTACATAATGGATAGGATAATATTTATATGAGTGTTGGACTCCCTACACCAGTTGCGGGGGCGTTAATGATGAGAATCTTTGTGGGGGTGAGAAATAATTATGTTAATTTTAAATGCCCAGCGAAGCGGACGGGGGTACAGTTAGTATTAAATAACATGAAAGAAAAATACATAAGGATTATGAAATATGAGTTTCATTGAATATATCAACTAATAAATGTACTTTTCCCAACAGGCTATTAAACGTGTCCCTAGACACAGCCATCCCGGGCCTGAGTCGCTCAGCCCCAGCGCTAGGGGTTGAGATCTGCGCGTGCCCTCGCGGCTACTCCGCCTCATCGTGCCAAGAACCAGACATAGGCTTCTGGATGCCGCCACCGAGGGTCCACTTGTCTACCGTGAAGGGAACCATCGTTATCAGCCTGGAAGGAGAAGCGCAGCCTTGTCATTGTCATAACAGAGCTACGAAGTGCGATCCAGAAACTGGATATTGTTTGGTAATTTATTGGCTTTAATTTTGATGCTTGACTTAAATGGCTGTTGGTAGTTTAGTAGGTCCAAGTCAGAACGTACTATCCTTTTTTTATGTCACTGAAAATACGTGGTTTTTTATTGTAAATTTAGAGATATTTCTGTTCGAGTAAGATTTGCCCCTGTGCTCCAAGCATCACTACATACGAGTCGCTTTCTCTGTCCCTATATCCCTATGTATGCTTAAATCTTTAAAACTACGCAACGGATTTTGATGCGGTTTTTTTTAATAGATAGAGTGATTGAAGAGAAAGGTTTACATGTACAATAACATCCATTAAATAGTGGAGAAATCAATAATAAATTACAGTTTCCGAAGCGAAGCGAGGGCGGGTCTCTAGTTAGATAATAAAATAATGATTATTGTCGCCAGAACTGCACAGCTGGTACCGGGGGCCCTCGCTGCTCGATTTGTGCGGCAGGATTCTACGGCAACCCCAACGCTCCTGCGGGCTGTCAGCCCTGCCCCTGCCCTTCCAGGGGCAAGAATTTCGCGTCCGGCTGTAACGTTGCAATGGGCCGAGTGCAATGCCTCTGCAAACCAGGTCAGTATAGTGGAGCTTCTAATTGGACGTGGATTCCTTCAATTTAAATAAACGTTCTATAATTTGATATATTGTTCTTTTAACAACCGTAGAGTTGATTATAATATTCGGGCATCTACCTCAATCTTAATTTACTTTATTAAAATTTTTTTTATTGCATAGAAGGGTGGACGGGCTCACGACCATCATAGACATCTACAACGTAAATGCCGTCACCTACTTTGAGATTATAGTTCTAAGGCCTCAGTTTTTATAGTACAAAGGTTGCCCCGCCCTTCAAACCGAAACGCATTACTGTTTCACGGCAAAAATAGGCGAGTAGGTGGTACCTACCCATTAAGACTTCCTAAGCTGAGAGCCTCTCAAGGCTATTTCAGCGTAACCTTAACTAGTAGGTGAGCTCACGGGGCTCAAACCTGACGACGTTGCTAACACAAACCCTAGCAAGAGCCGTGCTTCGCAGAATCTACAACCGGATCGGACACGCGACCCACTGAGAAGATCCGGCGAGAAACTCAGTGGGCTGTGTCTGAGGGATTATTTTACGTTTGATTTAGTTAATCTAGTGTTTTATATCCCGGGAACGTGTCCGGTATACCCTGTCCAAACTCCGCAGGCTACAGCGGGCCGCGATGCGAGTCGTGCGCCGTGGGATACCGGCGCGACGCTACGGGCGGGTGCGCGCGCTGCACGTGCGGGCGCGGCGCCGTGTCGCGGTGGTGTGACGCGCACGACACGTGTCGGTGCCGGGACTACGCCACCGGGCCCACGTGCGACACCTGCCTCGCTCCCAGGACTTACATGGACACCGATGGATGCATGCGTTAGTTTCGCAATTTATTATAGGAATTATAATACAGTGAAAAACATACCTCATACGACAACAAAATTTACTGGATCGATTTTTACATAAAATAACATTACGTTAAATTAAAATTTGTTAATGAGAACCTACTTTTATTGAAGTTGCTTGAAAATAACATAATTTTGTCAGTACAGCGACGATATGCATCTTGAGGGAAATTTAGAATCGCGCCAACAAGGCTTTGAAAAATCTCAATTAGTGATGCTAGAGTACTATTTAAGATTGATGTTATTTTAAGACTCGATTGACACTCTACGACCGCCGATGACATTATCTCTTGTTTGTTGCATTACGGATGAGTAGACTGGACGGTAACCACTAACGATCAGGTGGCCCTCATCTGTATGTAGCCTATCTTACTCCTCTTTAGATCCCTTGGAGCTGCTAAAGATACCCAGATAAAAAATAGATCATAGATCGGGTATTCCAGTAACTACACTTGCTCTATTAGTTTGTACAGTTTATTATAATAATAAATACATTTACAGTGGAAATTTTAATAAAAAGAAGTCTGTTTTCAGCATGTGACAACTGCACGCAGACATTATTGGACTCAATTGAAGAAGCCTCGTCGAATTTACGCAAAAATGCCAATCCGGCTGAATTAAAGCGCATCCCCAAGCCATTCCCGGCTTTAAAAGAGTTCGCACGCAATACTACAATGCTAAAAACCACCTATGATTCTCTAAAGAAATACCTAGAAAACGTTTCAGGACTAGATAATTCGATCGCGAATTTAGAAGCAACAGAACACAGACTGTTTACAGAAGCGAATCGATTAAAGTCGGAAGCTTCTAGACGCTTAGCAGAAGGAGACTACCTGAGCTTAGAGAGCGTTAGCGCTTTGGAGGATGTGTTGCAATTGAGGAGGAGGTTGGGCGAGCTGGTGGAGGATCTAGATGAGTTCGCGAAAGAGGAAAAGCATTTAAGTGCTCACCGAGCACTGAAGGAAGCGAGACAGCTTTTAAAAGAAATCAGGAATGTTCAGCTTACTGATTTCACCGCTTCGGTTAATGATGTTTTTGATATGGTAAGTTACTTGAATTAATGCTTCAGTGCTTTCAAGCTTGATCCATCCCAAAATAATGTAAAATATTACATCTTTTGGTCAGATTTTTTGGAACGAAGTTCCTTATGGTACGATGCAGAGGGGTACCCTAACAGGGAAAAAACGTCCGTAACGTAAAATTTTTATTAGTAATGCACACAGTGTACGACTTAACTTTGTAATAACATACAAATTTTTTTTTATCATTCATTGACCACGATCTCAGAGCATTCGTTTGCGCAATACACTAACTCTTATGCAAACAACCGTGAATGAAGTGTGCCACAATAAGTTTGCACGTTACCGAATGACCGTGGGTTGTTACGAAACCTCCAGTTTTATTTCCTTTATACTTCGAATAGAACTTATAATTAATATTTTTATAATAAGGAACTTTGTTCCTATCCGGTATTCTACACCGCACTTTTTTTTTGCATTTTACATTACGATAATATTCGATTATTCTTCCTTCAGGCGAACCTCCAGACGACATCACTGAAAGAATATAAATATCGAATCGATGATACGTATAAACGGGTGAAGAAACTCGGTGAAGCGCTGACCGAGTGGGAGAAGAAAGCAGCTGACCTCCACCATCTGGGCCAGGCGGTGTGGGACGCCGGCGACCAACTTGTTCAGCTTCAGGAGAAGGTGAAGCCGAGACTTGCTGCGGTCAGAGACATCGGACTCAGATGTCGGCTGATACTTGAAGTAAGAAATTATGTTTTTTTTATTGCCCTTGTAAGCAGACGAGCATACGGCCCACCGGATGGTGAGTGGTTACCGTCGCTTATGGACTTCAGCAATGTCACAGGCAGAGCCAAGCCGCTATGTATGTTTCCCCTGACTGTTATTATACGTTGAATACATTGTGTTTACGGCTTGATCTCGTGTTTGAGTTTATTAATTGAATAAGTCCTGATGTTTCGAACTAAGTAGTGAGGAGCGCGCGATTTAGTTCCAAAACGCGCATTAGTTTAAAGTCATTAAAATGTAATATTTTGAAGAAACTCAAAGATAAAGGTTTGGGTTGCAATATAACTGTTTGTAACGTAGATGTCATAAAATATAAAAAATACTACGGCAAAGATCTGAATTGCACTAATAACATTTACAAGTTAAAATTTCACATAATAATAGCTCTTACTCGGCTGATAATATAAGTAATATTTCTGGCAAAATCATTATTGGAGCTTCGGTCTCCTTAACAGAAGCACACGCGCGGTGAAAGTTTTGTCATTTCCCCCAAATAGTGTTTCCGGCTATTTTTTGCTATATCCACACTTTGATACTTATAGAAAAAATGATCACATAAATATACGAGAAAATAAACAGATACATTGACAAAGATGTTAACCTGAGTTGTATATCGAACGTCACCCGCTGGTATCGTGGTATATTTCAGTAAGACCCAGATTAACGATGTGAACAATACATTACCGTGGAATAATTTTTTTCTTCATCACCCTTAGGACATAAACTCCCTATCCACAAACAACTTGACCGACGCAATCGGAGCCATCCTGCTTCAATCTCAGACCCTCGCAATCAAGTTTCCCAGCATCGACGCGGAGCTAAAGGTGCTCACCCTTGCTGCTGAGGAGAAGGAGGGCATTCTATATAGTCTAACACCAGCTTACAGGCAGAAGTACTTGGAACCGGTTGAGAAACACGTCAAGCAGTTGGCCGAGAAAGCTATCGAATATAAAAAGTAAGTGTTTCTATTAAATTTTCTAAAGTTTTTGACGTGACAACGTCTTATAATTCGATTGAGCCGGCTGCACGCACGAAAAAACATGACTCAGAGCGAGGTAACACCGCATGGTAACGCTCGTCAATTGTTTATAGCAACGATAATTGCGGCAATAAAGGTAATGATTCTTTCGATATTAAATATATGTTCAGTGATATATTGTCGAATATTCGTTCTTTCATCATTAAAATAAATAGCATCGGTCCGCTAGTGCAGCGATTGTAGGTTATGCTATAATTGACAAAACTATAACAATAAGTTAACAGAACTATTTCACGATGAGTAAAAAACCATTCCATCAGTACTTTCTTATGACGTTGTCACGTTCAGCTATCGTCAGTAAACCGACTTTACAGACAACCGATTTTTTTTTTTCAATCATAATGAAAGAGCCGGCCGGCGTTAACAAACCTTACACGACGGAACCAAACCAATGCTATTATTATTTCGTACCAGTCTATTTGCGGGAAGTCGCGCCGCAGCTTCCCTGGGCGTGTCGGCAGCGCAGGCCTGGTCCCGGGTGGCCTCCCTAGTCCAGGAAGCCAGTGAGGCAGCAGAGGAGGCGACTAGAGCAGCCGCAGCCGCCTCCAGTCTCGCTCGCGGCTCAGAACCCATGCTGCAACTCGCCGGAAAGGGGAAGAACAGCTCTGAAGATCTAAAGATGAGAGGAGCCGCTGTGTTGGCCAGAGCTGAAGGTTCGTTAAGTTCTAAGCAGTCTAAAAAAGTCTTGAGCTTTTTGCCAATGTTGAGATATTTTAATTTATTACCTTTCAATAAAGTAAAATAATTATGAATGACATTTATAATAACGTAACTAAAACTGTCCTTCCTTAGATTTCGATTATTACTTTAAATGTTTTTGCCCCAAATATAAAAGAATGCGTTAAACTTAATAAATACTATATGTTAAACTTAATAAATACGAAAATTTTAATAAATAGACGTGCTATACAGTTTGAAGGTCAATTTGAGGCCGATGTGGTAATAACTGACTACCATATCTAACGTGAAGACAGTATCCATTTCCTGATAGAAGCACAAGTAGCTTACCTTCAAGTTTGACACGAGGCTGTTGACCCCGTGCATCTGATCCAATGCATTTTGGTACTTAATGACAATCGTCTGTACAGCCCTAGGCGTAGAGTTGGAAGGCTTAGCCCACGCCACGGACGCGACCAGCGTGACGGTGCGCGGCGCGGCGTGGCGCGTCAGGTCGCTGGGCGCTCGGCCGGAGGCGCGCGTGCTGCCCGTGCTGGAGGCCGCCAGCGCCGCGGCCGACAGGCTGTTCCTCACCACGCGAGCCCTGTACGACGAGGCTAGCGATGTCAGGCGGCTCATACGGTACGTGTCCACTTCGATAAAGGCTTTTGACAGAATATGTAAAGTTACTGTTCTAGTGCGTTCCAATACACGGTGTCCCATGTCAATTTGAATTAAATTAAATAAAATCTTTCTTAATGCGTACTGTATAAGATGTTTTTCGTATTTCCTCAGGTATCACATAAGGAAGCAGCTAGCTGAACTACAGCGTCACGGCGACACCGCGCTAGGAGCCGCTCAGGAACATGGTAAATATTGTTCATGTTTCTATTAAGCTTCTGTACATGTGTATATCAAATTATCAGCCTGCTGGCATATTGTATCAGGAGCGTGTTGTCACCCGACCGACGACATCCCTGTACTATCTATTACTAAGCAATCGTGTAGTTCAGCTTGAATATTATTGATGTTATCGTGTTTTACACGTTGTTATTATTGGAGAGAGATACTTTCTATTACAAAAACCCTTTCACTGTGGCAAAAGTAGGCCGTTTTGTGTGCGGCTCTACTTCGGACTATTGCCTTATCACGTGTCGCTGTATCATTCTCTCTCAAACTCCCCATGACAATCTTAAAGTGACACTGATATGAGTAATAGAGCAGAGTAGAGGCCCCCCCGATAAGTTTTTTTTATTGCTTAAATGGGTGGACGAGCTCACAGCCCACCTGGTGTTAAGTGGTTACTCGAGCCCATAGACATCTACAACGCAAATGCGCCACCCACCTTGAGATATAAGTTCTAAGATCTCAGTATAGTTACAACGGCTGCCCCACCCTTCAAACCGAAACGCATTACTGCTTCACGGCAGAAACAGGCAGGGCGGTGGTACTCACCCGCGCGGACTCATAAGAGGTTCTACCACTACCAGTAAAAATGATATGAAAGAGTAACGTTTAAACGTTGATAAACACCAGTGTCTCAGATCCGCGGGAACACGGCCCGCGGCGCCGAGGTGGCGGACGCGCTCGCCGCCGCCGCCGCCGCCCGCGCCCGCCAGCACCGCCGCGCCGACCGCACGCTCCGACCCGCGCTCGCCGCGCTCAGGGACAACATTGAGAGGGCCCGGCATGCTGCTGATTCGGTAAATCTACTTACAATTAAATCGTTACGAGACTTAATTTTTTTTAAATATTGTTTTATAGTTTAGGTGGGTAGACGAGCTCACGGCCAATCTAATGTTAATTGGGTTCCCAGAGCCCATAGACATTCTAGTGAAACATACTCAAGTTGGTTCAATACTGATTTATTTTTAAGACACCCTCACTTACAGTTAGTTATATTGAATGCATGACTTACGTCATTATAAATATACTACAAACATCTACAACGTAAATGCTGCCACCTATCTAGAGATATAAGATCTAAGGTCTCCGTTTTTATACTCGTAGTACAACGGCTGCCTCTACCTTTAAATCGAAAAGCATTACTGCTTCACGGCAGGAATAAGCAGGATGGTGGTGTCTACCCGTTCGGACTCACAAGACATCCTACCACCATTAAAATACCATCGTATCACCCGTTCACCATATAAAATAGGACTTTAAGAAGAAGTCTTAACAGCAGGCCGCAACTTAAATCTGCCCTACCGATTTCTTTGAACTTCATCAATCACATTTTAAAACGAAATGCTTTTACCACAGATTTCTGTATCACTGACCTCAAGTCCCGGAGCGCCTGCGGGTTGCTCCCGCGCTTTTCCTACCGATGGCGCGTCCGGTGCCGTCACACAAATCGCCATCGACGTGTCGTTCGACAATACTGTCAGAGACGGACCTCTCATACATTTGGTTGGCGAAATACAGGTATGTGATGGAAAAGTTTAATGATGTTAATTTAAGGAATTTGAAGCAAGTGCTAAAATCATAGAGTAATAAAGTCCGTTAGATGTGCCTTGTCGATGAATCCATAATTAAATGCTACAAATAGAAGTCAATGAAAAGTGTATAGATTTATATAAGATTGAGCACTCGCAACACTTAATATGATATAGTTTTTTTCGTTTTTTTTGTGCCGTATACTTTTATAAATCTCAGAGTTATTGTCTTAGCTTCATTATGTCAGATGATTTTAACACCCGACGGTTTTCGTATTTAGAGGTGATATTCGCCAAGACTCAATAATTATGATAGCTACCGTAGATTTTATACAAAACAGGTGATTAATAAAGTAAAAAATAAACTAGTAAAAGTAACGTCTAGTAATGCTTGCAAGCATCGAGAACATTCCATTTAAAGTTATAACCTTAAAATATGTGTTTGCTTAAACTGAATGTACCTACTGTCTGCAGATTAATTATTATTTTTGGTACCGTCCGACAGAATGACGTAGAAACTTACATGAAACTGGTGGTGGAGAAGCAAAGGTTGAAGTTGACGTGGAACCTGGGGGGTGATGAAGGGCTGATCCTACATCCTCAACTGCTCCAGTCTACACACGACGACGCCGATCATACGTCGTATAGAATCGACATTGAAAGGTATGCCCTAGGAAACTGTTGTTATTTTCGCTGTTGATAGGCTGAGGAGCTCGTGGCTTATCTGATTTATACAGGCTTGCTGCTGATATCTGCTGTCCCACTCTTCAAATCGGAACGCACGATTGTTTCGCGCCATAAATGGGACGAATGATGTAGACTACTCGTGCGAACTTAGGGTAGGTACGCCTTATCTTCTATGCGCATTTGTGTTATCCATGGGCTCCGTCAATCACTTAACATCAGGTGGTCCATGACGTCGTCCACAAAACTAATTCATGTCACATTCAACATGAATTTGTTTTGTGGACAATTACGCAGAACAGTACAAGAGACTAGTATTGTTTTTTTTTTTTTTTTTTTATTGCTTAGATGGGTGGACGATCTCACAGCCCACCTGGTGTTAAGTGGTTACTAGAGCCCATAGACATCCACAACGTAAATGCGCCACCCACCTTGAGATACAAGTTCTAAGGTCTCAAGTATAGTAACGACGGCTGCCCCACCCTTCAAACCGAAACGCATTACTGCTTCACGGCAGAAATAGGCAGGGTGGTGGTACCCACCCGCGCGGACTCACAAGAGGTCCTATCACCAGTAATTACGCAAATTATAATTTTGCGGGTTTCATTTTTATTACACGATGTTATTCCTTCACCGTGGAAGTCAATCGTGAACATTTGTTGAGTACGTATTTCATTCGAAAAATTGGTACCTGCCTGCGGGATTCGAACACCGGTGCATCGCTTCAACACGAATGCACTGGACGTCTTAGCCGTTAGGCCACGACGACTACATTTTAATTTCTAATTGCATTAATTTCTAATTGCATTAACAGATAAACGAGGATACGATCCACCTGATGGTCAATGGTCACCGATGTTCATGAACATTAACGATGCCAGGGCGCAGTTGAGCCGCCGCCTTCCACCTATGACTCTTTAAGAATCTAGCTTAAAACAAAAACTCATAGCGTTCAGGGAAACGTGGACAAAGAGATCTCTGTGTAAATAAACTGTTGATCATTTCAAATGATTACTTAGAGCACTCCCCGTGAGACATACGGTATGTACTAAATACGAACAGAGCTGAAATCCCTCGTATCGCGGTCATGAAGACTGCAGTGTACCGTTTAGCGACGAGCGCTATTGTTTTTTTTATTGCCCTTCTAGGCAAACGAGCATACGACCCACCTGATGGTGAGTGGTTACCGTCGCCCATGGACTACAGCAATGCCAGGGGCTGAGTCAAAACCCTGCCTTTTTTTCGGACCTGCAAAGTTAAGCCGCTGCCTACTACCTACCTATTTTGTTATTGTTTGTTTGTTGTATTAAATTGCAGTTTACATTTCCAGGATATGGAACGTTGTGGAGTTGCGCCTGGAACAGGCTGGCGGGGCGGTGACGTCAGCGCGGAACAGTAGCGCGCGGGGGGCGGCGCTGCGGGTGCGGGGGCTGTGGGCGGGGGACGCGGCGGGCGGGGGGCTGCCCGCCTGCGTGCACGCGCTGCGCAGTGCGGGCCGCCCGCTCGGCTTGTGGCGCGGTGTGGGCCAGCCTAAAGATGCCGCCTGCACCGGCTGTACGCACAGGTTTGAAGCACGTCTCCGCACTAGTGTAGTTCCAAAAACCAGCTAACAGCTGTACCCACGTATGAATCAACGTCACGGCAGATATAGGTAAAACTGGCACCATCGCGTGCAAGCAATTTTCACTTATTGTTTCTCCTACCTATGCTGATAGCCTTGAGAAGCTATTTCAGCTTCTCGGGATCGGGAACGCGACCCACTGAGAATATCCGGCGCGAAACTCAGTGGGCTGTGTCTATGGGTTAATTTAATTTACTCGTCGAGCTCTTCGTCGCAAGCGACGGGTTCGACCAGGGATGTAGACGTCCGTCGTGTTACATTGCGGGCACGGCCAGTTATGGCGGAGATTAAAGTCATAATGGATGTATAAAACAACTCATTTAATTTTAATATATACTCTTTATCTTTATAATTTAGAGTAACTAACGCCTCAATATATTTCTGTGCATCATCAGATGGATGAGTTCGGGGCGCGGCGACTCCATGACCTGGTTCGACGGGGCTGGTTACGTAGAGCTACGTCGCTCAAGACTGCGCCCCGTTGACAGAAGGCAATTCTCAATAGCATTCACCTTCCAAACGAGAGACGAAAATGCTTTATTATTTATGGCTACTGACATTGCCAATGTGAGTGGTACAGATGATATTAATTTATCCCCGAACTTAGGATGAGCTGCATGGACTGCTCTCGACAAAAAATCATTGGATCGTCTCGTCTCATGTTCTTCATGAACCCATAGAAGACAACTAATACTATTGATTAACTTACCTTGGGACAGAAGTTCAAAGTCTCAAATACTTAAAACAAAAAGCACCTGTTTCTTTAAGCAGGTCAGTGATAATAATCCGTGCTAACTCAGACAGTGCCACCAGTTTTGAACTTAAGGACCATATTGACTCAGACAAAACAAATGGGCATTTAATTTCTTATTGCTATAGTAAGGCTGAACAGCTCATGGCCCATCTGCTATTAAGTTGCTTCTACAACTGTTTCTTACTGGTGGTAGGACCTCTTGTGAGTCTGCACGAGTATGTACCACCACCCTGCCTATTTCTGCCGTGAAACATTAATGCGTTTCGGTTTGAAGGGTGGGGCAGCCGTTGTAACTATACTTGAGACCTTAGAACTCATGTCTCAAGGTAGGTGGCGGCATTTACGTTGTAGATGTTTATGGGCTCCGGTAACCACTTAACACCAGGTGGGCTGTGAGCTCGTCCATTCATATAAGCCATAAAAAATATAAAAAATAAAACAATCAATAGTTACTGCCAGCTATCTTAAAAAACAAGTTCAAAGTATCACACGCATCAGCGAGTGTCTTCCGATATCAATCTCGAGCACATATCTGAATTACAAAATGGCGGTTCTTATGGTACCGCGTGTAGACTGCCTAGTCCCTACAGCCAATAAATTAACTGGTACGTAACTAGGTACTTAGAAATAGTTTTTCCACAGAATCGTTCAGTGACAATAGTAATGCGTGAATGCCGAGTGTACTTTATAGTCGAGTACACAGGATCCAGGCTGGAACTGGTGGCCCCCGGACGCCACTGTGACGGGAGGCCGGCACATCTGCAGGCCATCAGGGCGTTTGCCGCAAATAATCTTGAGAAAGGTACTGTGTAACACCGGGAAGAGGAAGCAAACGACGTATTTTTAATATATTTGATGAGATATTAATTGGTTCTTGACTTCAGAGTAAGTTCTCATGCTATGGCCTTGGTTGGATATTGTTATTATTATATTTTAACAAGATAACGAATAAGATTATTGATATGTTGATTAGCATCCGACTTTGAGTCAATCTTGGTCAATTGAATAGTGTATTGATCCTAACTGCTTTGGTAATCAGACTGATTTTACACATGACATGTCCTTCTTCAAAAGAGGCTTGTGGAGAGTATTAAGCGGTAGGCAGCGGCTTGGCTCTGCCCCTGACATTGCTGAAGAACATGGGCGACGGTAACCACTCACCATCAGGTGGGCCGTATGATCGTCTGCCTACAAGGGCAATAAAAAAAATTAAAAAATTACACGACTGGATTGTGTTAGATTGTTGATAGTTTTGACAAGCTGTTTGAATGGTTATTGTATCTAATCGACACCACAGCGCGAACAGCCCTGCTGCATTAATAATAGAGGTTATAAAGAGCCCTGTCGCAGACGTGTGAGGTTCGCTGGACTGTCCCCAGGCAGCCTGCGTGTTAACGGCGAGGAGCGGCTGGGCTCCCCCTCCCCGCCCGTGCACCTCCCCGCCGCGCTCCCCGACCTGTCCGCCGCGACGTATGCCGTGGGGGGTCTGCCGCCCGGACCCGCGGCCCCGGCGCCCCCCCTGCGCGGCTGTCTCGGAGCCCTGTCTATCGATAGAGAGGGCTACGACCTGCTGGACACTCCGACGAGACACGGGGTCGAGCCGAACTGTGGCGCCAGGGTGAGCTCACGTTGATAATATAGATTTTATTTAAACTATGGAGAATATAGAGGCTATTTTATACCTGCTGTAGACGATATTGTGTTTATCTATACGTGAAGCAAAAATGTTGTACCCCTTTTTACGAAAATTGCGCGGACGGAGGAGTATGAAATTTCCCACACTTATAGAACAAATAGAGAAGGAGTGCACAATGATAATATTTTTATAAAATCATGCATAAAAGATACATTAAATCAATAAAGAAAACATTACACACACTACCATCTATTTGACACACACACATATATACTCTTTGTTTATTGTCAAACTTTAATTAATGCTTAAAGTCTGTGGTCAAATTGAAAATAGATTAATATTGTTTTTCTTTATTATTATTTATCTATAGTGTAGCCTTCGCGAAATCTGTGATTATAGAAGTAGAGTAGATTATAGAAGTCTTTGACAATAGAACCATAATAATGTTCAAACTTATAATTTAAATTTATAATTACAGTCGAATTTCGACTACCGGGCGATCAGTAGTTTACTTACATACGTCAACATGCCGTTTAATTAAGTGTAAAAAAATAAACAATATTTTACGGTTAATGATTCCCTGTAAGTCATCGCAGTGGCGTTCTTTATTGCAACTAAATGTTAACAATAGCTACAAACGTGACGTAGGGATGCATTTTAAAAGTACGCAATCCATGCACACAGCATTCAAAATAAATTCCACTTGTACATAATACAATAATGGACGCTTTATTCAGATCAAATAGTAGTCAAGTCCATAAACGACATACATTTAGTTGTTTATAAATTAATTTTGATCATAAAAACATATCTGAGCATTATAAATAGAGGGACATACAGATCACGACTAAGCGAGGGCTTCGCAACACAAGTCATCTTAGAAGAGGAGATAAACTATAGTCACTAAAATCGAATCTTCTCGAATTTTGCTTGAAATTAAGTGGAACAATCATTACTCTTTAAAGTAACGATTGTTCCACTTGATTTCCAACCAACCATGAACCAACGACATTGAACCAACAATGTTAAAACATGGTTTCGGCTCAATGTTGGTTTTAGTTAATTAGTTAGTTGGTTAGTTTTACGCTACCGTTATCCTCAAAGCCTTGAAGTATTATTAACATCATATAATAAACTTCGGTACATACAATAAACACCTTTTGAGGCTGTTTATTGTATGTACAGCTAGAAACATTTGAATTAATCTAATCGTTTTTCCGACAGACCATCCGCTCGGCTATATTCGAAGGCTCAGGCCACATCGAGCTGCCATCGCCCGTCTTCCGCCGTAAAGCAGCGCTGGGCATCTCCTTCAGGGCTCGTGCTCCAGACGGCCTGATTCTCTTCAGAGCGCCCTCCAATCTGTCGGCTAACGAAGTGGACGAAGATGGTGACGGACATTTTATTGTGTTGGCTCTTATTAAAGGTAAGTAGCAATTGAGTATCTTAGGCTTTTTAAGTGGCTTAGATAAGCAGACAAGCTAACTGACTAGAGCTTATAGACCGTAACCTCGGTAAGGTTCAGCTGCGGTCCAAAGGCTGTGTTCTCAAAGAGTTCTTTACCATTAGCGGCGGTTGGATTACGGTTCTGTCCGTACACCACTCATTAATAAGGGATTATTTTTGGTGTGACGTCAGCAGAAAGGCTAGGTTAGCGAAACTGACCGGAAATGTAAACAGAATTTACCCATAGACTCAGAACACGTTGCCTACCACCCGTTTTAAAATCTATAATAATTAAACTTAATTATAACTCTCGACCTTTCAACAAAACAACAACGAATCTTTAATGTGTTTTTTTTATTGCTTAATTGGGTGGAAGAGCTCACAGCCCACCTGGTGTTAAGTGGTTACTGGAGCCCATAAACATCTACAACGTAAATGCGCCACCCACCTTGAGATATAAGTTCTAAAATCTCAAGTATAGTTACAACGGATGCCCCAACCTTCAAACCGAAACGCATCACTGCTTCACGGCAGAAATAGGCAGGGCGGTGGTAACCACCCGCGCGGACACACAGGAGGTCCTACCAACTGGTAAACATGCTTTTTTGTTCGAAATACGTTAAATAAACGGACAAATAAAATGAGCGCATTGGTGACACAGACCACATCCAACCACCATACGTTGCGTCATGGAAGAAATAGAAAAGTTACCGGTTGAGCTCTACCTCCACACAATATAAAATAAAAACTTAAGGCATTTGCTTGAACAGGTGAGCTTGAAGTGATCGCGTCGGCTGGGAAGAGTGAGCTAGTTCTGCGGACCAACGGGACCAGGTTCGATGATGGAATGCTCCACTCTGTCCAAATCATCAGGATACATAAACAGGTAATAGATAATAAGACTGATCTTCCTGGATGGGAGATCCTATTGTTCAAGTCCAATGCGATGGTCAGACCAGATACATTCCACTCTCAACGCTTTAGTCCAGGTTGTTATCCACACAGCCGAGGATAGGCAGGATTGGCGCAGGATAATCCAGGAGAAAGTTGTTAGTGGAGGCCACGACCCTCAGCATTGAGGAACAGCGACGCAAGGAGGAGGAGAATGCTTAAGTCCACCTTGCTTTGTAACATCCTAAAATTAGACTTCACTAATGACCGACAATAATAATATTTTCATTTCAGCTCGAACTGTGGGTGGACGACGAGAGATTGTCGAGCGGTACGCTGCTTGGTAACGCGTTCCCATCCCGGCCTGGCGGTCTCTACCTGGCGGGTGTCGGACAGCCGGACGCCATGCGGATGTCACGGTTTCCTCTCAGACACTTCACCGGCACTCTCTCTGACGTCATTATCGATGCGCAGTATGTTTCAAAAGCTTAATGAGCATCATGTTATTTTGCTGATTTTACAAGGATTGAAACATTTCTTCATTAAAGAATTTACATTCCCTGGTTATTTTTTATACTCATCATCAGCCTGTATCTCTGCACTGCTGGATGTAAGCCTCCCCCATAGTCCGCCACAATGAACGGTCCTCCGCCTTCCACATCAAATATTCTCCAGCTTATCTCCACAAGTCATCAGTCCACCGGGCAAGGGGGCGTCCAACGCTGCGCTGCGATGCGCTGTGCGACTCTTTTCTATACTATTCAATAATTAATCTCGTCTAAATTTCAGATTGATCGGTCTTGAGAGCGCCTTGAACTGGAGTGGAGCCCAGCTCGGTCGCGAGGACAGCGAGCCCCGGATCCAGCCCAGAACCGAACCAAGAGCCTTGCAGTCGCAACAACAAGACAACGGATGTACTAAAGTAAGTTGATGAATCGACCCGAATAGCCTTTATCAATTCATGATTTAGCATAAATGGATAAAGAAGTTCACAACCGAAGAAGACATGGATGGAATGTGTGAATTACGATATGAGAGAGAGAGAGAGAGAGAGAGAAGAGTGAGTGCTGAGATGATACCTGATTGGACCGGCTGACGAATGGAAGAGAAAAATTTGCTGTGCACCTAGTGGGATAAGTTGGAGAAAAAGAAGAAGAACCCACCTGATTTTAGCTAGCTACGGAGTCCATCGATACAAACTTAACGACCGTCTGGTGTAGTGGTAAGTGACATGATCACTACATACGGGGGTCGCGGGTTCGAATCCCGCCAAGGGAAGATATTTGTATGATAAATATAAATGTCTTTTCCAGGGTTATGGATGTATATTAAATATATGTATGTGTATAATAAAAATCTTACATTTATTTCCGTTATCTGGTACTTGTACCACAAGTTCTTTACGAACTTATCACGGGACCAGTTAACGTGGCGTGATTGTTAGTAAATATTTATTTAAATATTTATTAAACTACCAATTGAATTCTACTGTCTCCCTCAAAGTCGGAGTAATTATTGTATTTACTCTAATCACCTTAATGGAGGGCATGAACACGAGAAGATAGGATACCCCTCTTTACTTATATATTAATACGTGAAGCAAAAACTTTGTACCTACCCCTTTGCGCGGACGGAGGAGTACGAGAACTAGCTGTACCCGTCCGCTTCGCTGGACATTTAAAATTAACATTATTATTTCTCACCCCCAAAAAGATTCTCATCATTAACGCCCCCGGTGTAGGGAGTCCAACACTCATATAAATATTAGCCTATCCATTAAGTACAGGTATTTTCTACACGGATACCAAGTTTCAAGTCAATCGGATGCACAGTTCAGTAGTTATAACGGAACATCCGTAAAAACCACTGTAGATTTATATATTAGTATAGGAATGCAGAATATTAATATTTTTTTTAATTATGCATAAAAATACATTAAATAAATAAAAAAACATTACACACACTTCCACATCTTTGACACAACACATATTTAGATATACTCTTTGTTTATTGTCAAACTTTTGCGTATATTATTTGTCTATATTAAACTATGTATTATTTGTCTATAGTTGTAGTCTTGGCGAAATCTGTGATCATAAAATAATGTTAAAACTTATAATTTCAATTAATTATAGTCAGAATTTCGGCTACTGGGGAACCACTAGTTAGCTAATTAGCCCGTGGTGTTCCAAGAAAGATTTTCAATGTTATTGTATATTTCAGACGATGTCGTACACGGTGGAGGCGGGCGCCGTGAAGTTCGGCGACGGGCCGCACAGCCACGCCGTGCTCCGGCTGAAGAAGCGCGGCCGGGACATCGCGGTCACCCTGCAGCTCCGCACCTACGCCACCGAGGGACTGCTGCTGCTGGCCCCGGTGAGCCGACCCGCCACCCGCCGCCCACTCACCGAATAGTAGCAATAACAAGCGTCATACAAATTCTGTCCCAACGCTAGGCTTGCGAGAAAGGACAGAACGATCCCTATCATAAACTTCAAACGCATATATCTCTGAACTTTTGGAACCAATTGCAATTAATGCTTCAAGACACGCATTATACTTAAATATTTTTTTCTTATTTTTAAATGTTGATTTGACGAATGTTGAATTGTCAATCAGCAGTGAACTTCAACCAGACAGAGATAAAACTCTACGAAGCCAAAATTCTCTTTTTCCTACCTATGCTGATAGCCTTAAGAGGCTATTTCAGCTTCGCCTTAACTTGTAGGTGAGCTCACGGAGTTCAAACCGGGAGTGTTGCTAAAACTGGCCCCAGCAAGAGCCGTGCTTCGCAGAATCTACCACCGGATCGGAAACGCGACCCACTGAGAAGTTCCGACGAGAGACTCAGTGAGCTGTCTCTTTCTGAAGTCGATGTGCAATATATATCGCCAGGTCCCATGACAGCTGTGGTAGGGACTTGTCAACCGAAATTAATTAGAAAACTTTTTTACCCTGCAGGGTTCAAAAGCAAAACCGAAGCATTACATAGCAGTGATGCTGCGAGATGGAAAGCTGCGTCTCGTGATCCGCGGCAGGAAGAGGAAGGAGATAGCGCTGAACACCTTCGTATCGGACGGCACTTGGAGATCTGTAAGTACCGGTTTTTCATTACATAATTATGCGATAAAGCAGAAATATTAATTAATTTTTTTTAACGACTAAGCGTGCACGTAATATTTATAAATTTGTTACGGGTACTCGCTGAGAGAAACAGTACTCCTAAAGTATGTTTTCCCTAAAGTGTGTATCAAAAATTTCTGCCGCTTGTTGGTCGACGCGTCAAGTCAGAATAGAATTTATTTAGCTCAATGTTTTAAATGTTTCTTTTAATCTGAAAACAATTGCTTGGAAAAGTATTATTGGAAAGACTTCCAGAATCGGAAGCACACATAATGAATACAATTAATGTAATTAAAATGTTGTAAATTTTAAGTTATTCAAATATATGTTTCGTGCAGCTCTCCATACGCTATGCGTCCGGCCGCGCTCACGTGAAGTGCGGCGGGGAGACGGGGGCGGGGCGCGGGGGGCGGGCGCACGTGGCCCCCCGCCTGTACGTGGGGGGGCTGCCCCCCTACAGCGACACGTCCGACTACACGCTGCCCAACAACGTGAGTATAACCTTGGGGACCGACAATGCAAATGCTGGGCCGGTTGACAATGTTTCTGGTGTGTAATTCAGTTTGATGAATGTGACAGTCTGTACTGTCGTAGGTTGGTGCGACGTCTCGTAGTTGCGCGTGTGGTCCCTGGTACCAAGCGAGTTCTGAGCCCGTCTTTAATTTTGTTCTATGTCTTAGCTATGTTCTATGAGTGAACCAGTTCCTCGTCCATCAATAAAGCTAAAATTTTAATTGCATTATAACGATGTTCACTAACCGGGCGGACTCACAATAGGCTCTGCCGCCCAGAATTACGTAAATTTATAAATTTTGTGGGTTTTATTTTTATTAAATTATGTTATTCGTTCATGGCGGTATTCGTTCGTGAATAAATACCAAGTACCTACCTACCTACCTATTTCTATAGAATTGTTTTATCTTCGGTTTCAAGCACTGGTATAGTCGCATTATTAAGGCCACGACGGCTCAAAGGTCACATCTAACTTACAAACTGCTAGAGCCTATCTCGTTCCCCGACTTCACAACCGAGTACGATGGAGATGCGCTTACGAGGATTTTTCTTTATTTTATCTACCTATTCTAATAACCTCGAGAGGTTATAGTAGATTCTAGTAGATTCGTCGAGAGAGTGGGCTCACGGGGCTCTAACCTGGTGACATTACTAACACTAGCCCTAGCAAGAATCTACCACCGGATCGGAAACGCAACCCACTGAGAAGATCCGGTGAGAAACTCAGCGGACTGGTTGTATCGAGCACAGTTACAATGCCACACGGTGACGTCTCCGTTGCAGATCGTCCGCGTGGGCGGGTTCGTGGGGTGCGTGCGGCGCGTGACGGTGGGGGGGCGCGCCGAGGACCTGGTGCGCGACAGCAGGACGCACCACCACGTCGGACAGTGCTTCCCCAACATTGAACCGGCCGCCTACTTCTCTGGTATTCAACCTCACACCTCCCATTACGTTGGATATTAAACGATACTACTCTAAATTTAATTAAGACGAAAAACTCGGCTAACACGAAACTCCTTTTGATTTTGGTGCAAATTTAGCTTCTTACATCAGCATTTGATGGCTTAGAAGATGCCTTGCAAGCTCATAATACGCCGTGCGGCCACCTATTACGCTAATTTTTATAAAAATTTCCCAAATTTTGTTTTTCATTACACAATGTTTTTTATTATTAAATTTGCATTCTGTAACAACTAAATTGTAGTCCAGAGATCAACTTTTGACTCTAAAAAGAGAGACGAAATTCTATTAGGTTATATCTATGGACTATCAGAAACCATAGATACCGTGTATACCGGTGCCCACATTGAAATATAAGATTATAATAATTGCAATTGCGTTTCTAGCAATTTTAGTATTTTCTTTTTATACTATCGAGGTGCTCCGCTGATTGTAATTCATCAGAGCGACCGCATCTAGATCTAAAGTAATTTTGATAACGCATTCACTAGATTCTTCCACAGGAGGTCTCTATACAGTTTTTTACGTAACGTATTCAACGTAACGTATATCCAAAGGTGACGCATATGCATCTCTGCGGCACACGTGGGGGGCCGGGAGCGGGTCCGACTCGGTCACCGAGCTTCGGCTGCAGTTCAGGACCAGTGAACCCAACGGCGTGCTGTTCGCGGGAGGCGACTTCCTTCTAGAGATCAAGGACGCTACGGTAAGTACCTACATAGGTACTTAGTAGTGGGGAAGAATAGAATGAAGCTTTTGATACGGGATAAACAATCTCCCGCCGCGCAAGGGCCGCGGTACGCGAGGAATGGCGACGTTTGGTGAAGCGCACCACCAACCCAAGTGATGACCACGACCACTCTGCCAAGAGTGCATACGACTGAGAAGAAGAAACAATCTCCCAGCCAGCTTGTTTTAAAAACAGATTAGTCTAACGTGAATTTCTGTGTCCACTACACACTGTTAATAGCATTAGAATTAGCATTAGAATAAAAGCTATCCTGAAGCACTATTGTTTCGCGAGAGAAATAGAAACAAACTGACTAAATGTTTTGTTATTTTTCTTTTTTTGTACATACTAATTTAGCTGAGATCCTAAGTTAAAAAAAATACTCATTCGGATTTTTCCTTTTTATAGGAGTGCAAGGTTTTCTGATAATTATTGTTAGTACACTGCTCACGTTAATGAGATGGCTTGCATTTAAATTGCAGTGTCATCGGGAACAGCCTTGTCATTGGTCCGAGTCGTCCGAAATCTTATTTAAACTTTTATTAAACAAATTTAACTTTTATTGTAGAAATTCTACACGGAGCCTGTTTGTTTTATTATGTTACTAGCGACCCGCCCTCGCTTCGCTTCGGAAACTGTAATTTATTATTGATTTCTCCACTATTTAATGGATGTTATTATACATATAATACCTTCCTCTTCAATCACTCTATCTATTAAAAAAATCGCATCAAAATCCGTTGCGTAGTTTTAAAGATTTAAGCATACATATGGATATGGGGACAGAGAAAGCGACTTTGTTCTATACTATGTGGTGATAACGCGGGTATACCAGGTGGTGCTGAGTCGCGGGGGCGAGGAGGAGGCGGGGTTGGGGGTGCGCGTGCAGGGCGGCGCCGCGCTGTGCGACGGGTCGTGGCACGCGGTGCGCGCCTGGCTGCACGCGCGGCCCGCGCTGGCGCTGGACGGGGCGCCGCGCGTGGACGGGCCCGCGCCCGCGCTGCTCGACATCGACGATTCCGCCCCGCAAACACCCACCGACTACTACATAGGAGGCTGGCCCGGTTCGTCACTTTGTTCTTATACTGATCACTCAGATTAGCACGAATACGCAAACCCACAAGTGTAGGACGACATTTGCAAATGATTAAGCAAAGTTTTCGCTGCATTCGCGGTTTTCTAAGCTGTGTCGGTTTTTTAACGGACATCAAAGCGCGAGAACCGCAATCCTTCGCGTAGATCCCACACATTCGTGTGACCAGTTGCGCCCACGATTGCGAAGGTAACGGATGTTTCGCCATTTTCATAGTTCGTGACGTCTACTGTGTAGCGTACCTTCATCATGGATTGGAACAACACCAAGGTGATGGATTTCATTGAACTCCGGTAAAATGAATCGACCATATGGGACCCTCAAAAGAAATCCCATAAAAACAGAATGGCCGTTAATGCCGCCTAGGAAATAATTAAAAACTCTTTTTCTCTTCAATGTTCTATTGACGAATTAAAAAAAAAGAGAAATTCGTGAGACATTCGTAAACAAGTGTAGGAGGAAGCGCAAACAGGTTTGCAAATTGAGTACCGAACCCATTTGCACAGCCGCTAAGTTTGCGAATGAATGTCAGACGGCCCTTGTGAGTGAGTGAATGTGAGTGGCCGGCATTACACAAACGTTACCGCGGCCTGTCTATGGCCACTGTCAGAACACAAGGCACGACTGCTTGAACAGAATGAAAAATTAATCATTAACACTAATGTCTCTCCTATTATCCATACGACTCTCCAAACAGAATTGTCCTGAATGGAATATCTTGATAACTCTAAATAGTATTTAAAATACATATGGTATTATAACAAAATTAAACAGTAATATTATGAAAAACAAACAATAATCTTTATGAATTCCTTGGCAGAAGGCGTAATGGAGTCTGCGGAAGGCGGGAAGAATTTTAAGGGTTGCATCCGTGACGTCAGCATCGGAGGACACAAACGCGATTGGAACAAAATGGATACTTTGCATAATGTTCTACTCGACTCCTGTCCTGTGCAACAATGAATTCATTTCATTATTAAGTACATATTTTAAAATTTTGCATAAAACACAATATGTGAGAACGAAAACACACAGCCCCTGATCGAAAAAATAGCATTTTGTTTTTTCGTTAGAAAAATATTTTATGTTTTTCTGAGGTCTCGATACAACTATAATTTTTAAGCAAACGATTTAAAGAAACTTTTTCCTAAAAATATTTGCATCCTTTGCATAACAAATTAGAAACATTTATTAATTTAAAAAAGTTGAAATCTTTAATATCCGATCTTATTTACTTTATCGTCGAGATAATAAAGCGTTCTTAATTCGTACGTATTGTTTCTAAATATCTCTAAATACCACATAAAGACTGCACCTAATAAAATAAGGAATGTGCCATTTTAAAGTGCCACAATCACATGTTGTAATTTTTTAGAAGTCTGTAGGTAGTCTGAGTCGCAAATGGTCCAGTGTTGAACACAAACCTCTGGTATAGGTTAATAGAGTGACCAGTAGAAGTTACAGGCGATCCAAACCGACCATGTTCTTCTTTAATAAAATAATTTTAAAGCTGTTTCCCAGATACAAAAGCAAATCACTTTGTGTCAGTGGGATAATACCGGTAATATTTTGACCATATAATTGTACATTAATTACGATGTAACATTTGATTTTATAATATAGTACACAAGTTTCTTAATATATAGAAATGTGATTATTATTCTAAAATGGCGACAGATGGAGACGAAAATACTCTAAATATGATAAAATAACATAATCACTATGACAATTTAAACAACAAATACAATGATTTATTGTCATTATATTACAAATTGACATTAGTTAAAAACTTAAGCAATAAAAACAGAGTTAATTTTTAAAGTTCATAGGCGATTTTAGGTATGTGTCACAAAATATTGAGGCTATTGTAAATATTTATGAATTAATAATATTTAAAATAGCTATTTAACGTTTAATACTCACTCATAATGAATAAGTATTCACCAGTATTCACGTAAATGTAATTGTAAATAAATTAATTTTAACCGTTGTGTACATAACTTAAGAATATTTTTAAGTTTTTGCAGAAAAAACAAAATTAATGATGATCATATTTTAGACTGGATTTTGTAATATCTATGAAAGTGTCTGAAGTGCGATTAGGTATTAGTATTACGTAGAGGACATAATAAATAAATAACGACAGTCTTTAAGGGCAGTATGTAGTAATACTAATATCTTGTTCGCACACTTCATTAAGAAAACCATTAACGTGTGATTCTTTTTAGTTTTCTACTATGGGTTATATTGTATTATAGATACCCATTTAATTTACAGTTCGATGCGGACGTATTCTTTGTGACTTCAAATTCGCTCTTTCTTTTTTTTTCGGGTGAACGAGCTCACGACGAACCTCATTTAAAGTGGTTACCGTTTCACAATGCAAATTCGGAACTTATCATTGTAACACGTCAAATAGCCAAAAATAGACACAATAATGATATTATCTACCCACCCCGGTTTCCGGTCGCAGTATAGTGATATAGTCCAGTTTATTAGTAGTCCGGATTAGTCCGGATTTTAGGACACTCACCAGAAGTAATGCGCTGATGTTCTATTATATCCCTATATTTACAATAGCTATACATCTCCTTTGATGTTATTGTACTTACGTGAATTATTTGATAAGGCACTACGAATTTGAATCCAATTTGAAATTGAATCAATTGAATCTATTTATTTATGCGTGAGCTATTCACAGCTCACAAAACTTCAGGCGGCAAAGCTTGATAAAGGTTTCACTTTATTTAGAATATAGCTGTTAGTATGCCGGTAATATATTTTTCCTTCATGCACATTCACTCCTTAAGCAAGGGTAGTCCTATTCCTACCTATAGATATTCCTACCTACATAGTACGAGTAGGTATTCCTAGAGATATCTGCGTTTGGTATTAGTAAAAAAAACATGAAGTTCTAGAAAAGGCGGGCTGTTCGTATTTTTTTTAAATCCAGCCTTCAAGATATTAGCGCCACAACCCAGAGCTACTAGTTTACGCATGTATCAAAATTATCCCGGCGAGGACAGATTATTTATACTTTTAAATAGAATAAATTGATGTTATTTTAAAGGCACAATAATTAAACGGAAGCATTTAAATACCTATCTTTGTTTATCGTTAGTCAGTCAGATGTATTTTTTTGGTTAGAATTAAGTTTTTTTAGCAAAAAAGTTCTTGCAATGACAAAAACGAAAATTGACAGTTGTAATTTAAAGTTTTAAATCGATAGCACGTTACATTTAAATCTAAATACTAAACTGAAGTTTTCAAGAATCGAAGAAAATGTTTATACATTAACTGTTCACATCTTACAACTTAAAATATTTTGTACATAGGTAGGTATGACGATATTAGGTCAATATATTTTTTCAAGCTCGTACAATTTTTGTACCTCCAACTATTTTGTTTGCCAAATTTTTTGGTTGTTTTACTTCTATGTCAACCTAAACTTTTTGTAAATGTCAAAATAATTGTCAGTCAAGTTTTTGCAATTGTAAATAATCTGAAACTATAAAGGGCACAGCTTTAATAGTTAAACTAATCGATTATGTGTTATGTCACAAATTAATTTATTGCTTTTTTCGTGTTCAATAAAAAAATAAACATTTTGTAAATATGATTTCTGTAAGTTTTCTTTCAACCATCCACTATGAGAAAAACACCGAACTCTATGAATTAGAATGGCATTCAATATCGTATTATCGTCTGCAACACATCCATTTCTAAACATTGGTCTCCCCAAAATGTCCATTGGCCATATTCTATGCATACTAAGTAGGTACAGTACCAGGCAATAAATATTGCACATCGATATTCAGAAAGAGACAGTCGTCTAATTTTGTTTTAGTTGTAGAGCGTTACCTGTATGCGACGAAACACCAACGATCCTGTATCTCTGGAATTAGGTAATTTGCGACAGATATAACGCTCTACGAAGCAAAAATTAACAGTCTCCCACGGTCGATGTGCAATATTTATTGCCGGGTACTGTACCACCTATACGTAAGTTTACCGATTCAGATTTTGATTAATTAAATTTGAAAGCAAAAGCATCTCGACTCTTCAGTGTCAACTTTTTTCTCCAGTAATAAAATATTTGTTAGTCAAATGCAACTAAAACTTCGAAATAAGGTTGGCAAGTGAGCGACTGGTGATCCCAGGTGGTATGTCCTTATGTAGACAAAAAATAGGTCCGTCCAAATTTTGTAAAATCACTTGGTTTATAGTAATAAAATAAAAACATTTGGCAATAAAAACATTTATTTCACATCTCTTAAAACATAACTCCGAAGATGGGCACCGGCTCGTATTCCCGACTGTAATGTTCTGCAGTAAACCAAATCATTACAATCGCTCCAGCTCCCAGGTGTAGTACCAGAGATTAATTGTTTAGAGTTTTAAACTTAAATTCGCTGCAAAACATTATCATATAAAGGTTAATTGCCAATTTTAACAATAAAACTTAAATTCACTGAAACTGCAATGTGGCCGTTAACTTTTTTTTTCTAGCAACATTACTCTAAATATAATATACTGTTATTACAATATGTATGTATATGATAGGAGCAATGAAGCCCAATAATTTGTTGGACATAAAATAAAATTTGCAAATGTTCAATAATACATGACCTAGTCCTAATAACCTTATAAGTTATAAAGATGAACGCGAAATGACAAAAAGTAGGAAGAAACCGACGCCTACTGAGAAACTAAAAATTACAACAAAAAAAAAACTACCTTAAAAAAAAAATTCATCTGATGTTCTAGCTTCGCCTTTATCTTCAATCACAGATTGTTTTTATAGGCTTATACTGTATAAGATTAGCATGCAGCTTAAATGGGAACATGTTAATTGCAACTTCAGTACACTATAATTGCAAATATTTTCTTAATTTGGTGGTTAAATGGTTAATAAAAACATTATAATTATTTAATAGCTTGGGTTCTTATTTACCGAGCCAAATCTACAATTATTATATTATCGATTTAACGCAAAAGGTTCATCTAAAATAAAAATAAAAAGAACACCATTTTTAATGAACATTCACAAAATTTATTTACTATTCTACTAATTAAAAATACATATGAATTATTATTAATACTAAAAATATATGAAATGAAATATTATACGATGTATAATGTCACTGCTCTTTGGACGACGAGAAATCACAATGAAACAATAATAAAATATAAAATGGAATTTCGTAGACAAATATATCGTTGGTTTAACTCAATATGCACAAGATTGAAGAAGAATTAAATTTCCTGAGTTTCCAGAGCTGTGGACAAATTTACAATGTAAAAATTATACTGAGAAGATTATTTTCTTTCTAAATATGTCACAATCTGTATTACATCAGTGAACCTGAAGATAAAATTGACTTAAAATATTGAATTAAATCACCGATATAGTTTTTTTTTTTTAATTTTAAATAATTAATAATCACATTATCCACATCAATGCACCTGTATCTATCCTCACAAAATAACTGTTTTATACTTATCAATCTACGAATGGCCCTTTTTTTTCAAGCTGTTCTGATGCCGTATTTCTAAGTTTGACACCGATCATGACTGTGACGTTAGAAATGTATGAGTTCATACATGTTCAAGTACATTACGCATATATGACGTTTGGCAGCGAAGGAAGTCCCAAAGCAAGGCACGGCAGCCTCCGCAGCCGACTTCTCCAAACCACGTTCTAATTTGACATCTTCTAAAGGCATCGTGGTCAGTGCCAAACAAAAAAAAAACGACCTTCGGCCATAGTTACATAAAATTCAAATAAAAATCTTTTTTCAAAGCTTAGTTGTATAGTACGAGATACAACGGCATTAAAGAAAAAAGAAAATAAAATATGTTTTTTTTTTTTTAATTACAGATTCAGTACGTCGTGGTGTTACCAGCGTGCGACGTGTTGAGCAACTCTTTCATTCGAACCTAAAGGTATAAGGGTTTTGAGACGTACAACTAACTTGTACCATAATTTTAACTAAATTGCATTTCGAAATCTCTAAAACTACATTCGTTTTTAAGTAGAAAAAGAAACTATAAATATATACAAAGTTTGCTGAAGTAAATGCGATGAAGTTGTCGGTTCCGAGTTTGTGTATGTCTGCTAATATAACTTTATATATTTATTGACTTTCACCTCCTGCCTCGTGTAGACTGGTGTTTATCTGAAACAGAATCACAATGGGAACTCCGTTGAATTCAGTAAGCTGTTGTTTTTTTTTATAAGATTGAAAGATTAGTGGTGGCCCAGAAGCCTTTCCAGTTTCACCAGGACAGGTGGGCGAGCAAAGGCTCAGCCAGGAGGGGGGGAGATTAGCTAACAGCTGCCCGAGCGCCTCTGAAGGAGACCTAACGACTCAAGAGCAGTGCTTCGCGAATAAATCTACTACCGGATAGGAATCGCGACCCGCTGAGAAGATCAGGCGAGAAACTCAGCGGGCTGATGCATGGGTTAGGTTGTATGGTTACTGGGGTCCCTAAACATGTTAATGTTAAAGCTGAAGGCGTCTAATGCAAAGGTTATTGGATCTGATTGATCCGTAAGGATTAAAGAATTATTACTGTTTTACTTGTTAAATTTGAATCTCAAAATATGTTTTCATTAGGTATTCTCTTTTTATTTATAATTATTGTATTCCATCTTCGAGCCGATGAATTACCAATGTTATGTACACCATTATTGTCACATGCATCAGGCCATAAATTAAATAGTTTAAGTTATTTTCAAAGTTAAATGTTTGTGATGTGGCAGTACTTTTTTAAATAAATATAAATAAATAAGGACTAGAGGCTGTTGATTCATCATCATAAAATACGAAGAGCATTGAGTATATTGGTTGGCGGTACTCACGGGCGGCGCCTACATGGAGAGGTACCCGCTGGCGGCGGAGCGGCGGCGGGCGACCAGGTAGGCGACCAGCACGACCAGCACGAGCCCGCCCAGCGCGCAGCCCACGGCTATGGGCACGGCGTCCGGCACGTCGGCGCCGCCGCACTGGCGAGCTGACACGGCACACAATTATAAATAAATAATACAATAAGATGGCTGTATTTCCTTATCCTTAACTTTCATTTCAAATGTGATATTTATTTGTTAATGTTTAGTTAGTTATTAATGCTTATTGTCTAAATGTTAGTAAGAGTTAGTTTTTGTTATTGGATATGGACCCCTCCTCAGGTGAAGGCCTCCTCCAGTCCTTTCCACTGGTCTCTGTCCTTGCCGATAGTTTGCCAGTCCTTTCCTATTATTTCGGTTACGTCGTCAGCACAGTCTTTTCAGTCTCCCTACCCTTCTTTTGCCAATTGGCACGTTGTTTGCCGTGAAGCAGTAATGCGTTTCGGCTTGAAGGGCAGGGCAGTAGTTGTACTGTTAAAACTGAGACTTTAGAACTTATATGGCCAGGTGGGTAGCGGCATTCACGTCATAGATGTCTATGGGCTTCAGTAACCACTTAACATCAGGTGGACTGTGAGCTCGTCCACCCATCTAAGCAATAAAAAATAGCTGGCTATGTAAAAGTTCGTTGTTTATAATGCGTCATGTTAATTAAAACATTTCATACGTTATCAAATTTAAAAGTTATTTTTAGGGCATTGCGTAATTGAAAATATTTGTAGGGATTTGTAATAGTTCCAGACTTTCATTTTGTCATCTTATTTGTATGTATTTTTAACAAAAACGTTTTGATAAAAGCTGCTAATGTACTAATATACAAACAAATAACAAAATAAATGAAATAAAAACCTTACTTTTAAAAATAAATTAAAAATACGAAGCTGAACTAAATAAATATAAACAGCGACGTTCAACAAAAATATTTTGATGTGTTTTTTTGTTTTTAATCCTTATGAAATATATTATTACAATATTAAGAAGAATATTTAATCTGCAGCATTCGGCGCACGCGCAGAGCGATAACATTGTCATTAACGCGATATTATTAATTACTGGCACACATTAAACATAATTCATTTAATAGTTTGATAAACATTGAAACATATATATTCTACATTTGATATTTTAATGGACGAGCTAACGGCCCTGTGCGTACACAAATCGAGGTCACACGGGTGGGTTCCGTTTCATCGAATTTCAATTTCAAGAAAATATCCTGATGTCAGGACGAACTGACAGCCCGCGCAGATGTCAGTCTCAGCAGTGGCTCTTGGGACTCCTTTGCCTCTAATCTATACATTTTTACTGATGGTAGGACCTCTTGTGAGTCCGCGCGGATGGATACCACCACCCTGCCTATTTCTGCCGTGAAGCAGTAATGCGTTTCGGTTTGAAGGGTGGGGCAGCCGTTGTAACTATACTTGAGACCTTAGAACTTGTATCTCAAGGTGGGTGGCGCATTTACGTTTTGGATGTCTATGGGCTCCAGTAACCACTTAACACCAGGTGGGCTGTGTCATCCACCCACATAAGCAATAAAAAAAAAAAAAAAAAAAAAACAAATAAAATTGGTGTCTGTTTGTAATATAGAAATAGCCGCTTTTTACTACATGCATGTGAATATATATACGGTACATACACCAAAATAACATTTTTTACTATTTTTGTCTCTCTGTTTGTTCCGGCTAACCTCTGGAACGGTTGGACCGATTTTGACGGGACTTTCACTGATAGGTGGCTGATGATATACGGAGTAACTTAGGGTACTTTTTTAAGACTAGGTTCGATAGCTAGTTTACGATAAAAACATTAACACACAAACACAATTGACACAGACTCGCAACACCGTGGACTCCGAGTTACTCACCGGCACTGAATCCTGTTCCGGGCGCAGTCCTGTAGGCCTCTTCCTGCAGCCGGGTGAGGGTCATCGAGGCGGCAGTCAGGCTGTCGGAGCTCATGTTGAAGCGGGTCGCGACCTCACACCGGTACGAGGTCGCCACCGGGGTCATCCATTCGTTGCCGTGGTAAAGCTCCAGGGAATTTGCTTTAGCTGTGAATGTAGAGATCTAGATTAATTGGACACCTCTATATTTAAATAAAAGCATTCAAGTCACCAAACAAAAACATCATCCGATGAAGATATCAGTTGAAGTCGTTTATAATAAATTCCAAGCGAATTAGTACATGTTTGAAGAACTATTCACTGTTATCTTTAGGAATAATAAAATAACACAGGTTCTACTCGAGCTGTGACTGCAAGGTGTCAGCCATCAAAAAAGTTATTCTATTATGTTAACTTTTCAGGAGAGCAATTAAAGTAAAAAAGAAAAAACCAAAACAAATAACAAAAAAAACTTCTTCAGCTATTTGATGGGATAAACATAATTGAAGTTCAATTAAAAATATTGAATGTTGATGCTAATGGCAAATAAAACTGACCTTTAATTACAAAGATAAATGTCGCTTAAACTTCTTCATATATTTATGTATAGATAGCATAATATCATTAGGGGAAACATATCTCTTTTTTATCATTGAAGTATCACTGGTGGCCCGAAGGCCTTTCTACTTTCACCAGGACCAGTGGGCAAGCAAAGACTCAGCCAGGAGGGGGTATATATAACACATGTCCTTCTTCAAACGAGGGTTTTGGAGAGTACTCAACGGAAGGCAGCGGCTTGGCTCTGCCCCTGGCATTGCTGAAGTACATGGGCGACGGAAAAAAAAAAATCTATGCAGCGGAGACTAAATGTTTTTCGTTCCATACTCACAAGCATTTACAAACAGCTCTGGGCTGAAGGACACATTGAGACTCTTGAGGTAGTAATTGTTCGTCGTTTTGTTCTTGTGGTAATAAATTGTCATGTTATTGGCAATGGTGGTGTTGGGCGCCAACCAGCTGATCTCGAGCCATTGGTCGCCTGCACAGGAGCCGTTCACCACAGAAGCGTTACTCGGTACGTTGAAGACGACGTGAGCGAAGGATGACACTGGAAACAGCGGTTAAATTTTAGAAGTCGTCGTTGTCGTGGCCTAAAGGATAAGACGTCCGGTGCATTCGTGTCTAGTGATGCACCGGTGTTCGAATCCCGCAGACGGGTACCAATTATTCTATACAAATACGAACTTAACAAATGTTCTCAATTAACTTCCGCAGTGAAGGAATAGCATCGTGTAATAAAAATCAAATCCGCAAAATTATAATTTGCGTGCGTTGCACTTAGCACCAGGTGCGCTGTGAGCTCGCCCATCCATATCTATACATATAAATAAAATTGGAGTGTCTGTTTGTAATATTGAAATAACCACTATTCACTACATGCATATGAATATACAGTACATACACCAAAATAACATTTTTTACAATTTTTGTCAGTCTATCTGGCCGGCCGGACCGATTTTGACGACTTTCTCTTCTTTCTCCGACTTTTCTTCCTATGCTGATAGCCTTGAAAGGCTATTTCAGCTTTGCCCTAACATGTAGATGAGCTCACGGGGCTCAAACCGGAGTGATGCTAACACTGGCCCTAGCAAGAGCAGTGCTTCGCAGAATCTTTCATCGGATCGGAAACGCGACCCACTGAGGAGATCAGTCGAAAAACTCAGTGGGCTGTGTCTGTAGGTTAATGCGTCGCAAGCGATGGGTTCGACGGGGACGGTGACCAGGGCTGATTTCACAATCCACCTAGTGTTATGCACCAGCACGGTTATGACAAGGGATCCCATATTTTAAAGTTGACTCCTATTACAAAAACGTGCTTATTCAATCATCAAGCTGTTCTTCGCCACGATAGTAACGGTCAAAAAAACGTTTTTAGTGTATACTAACTACTTACTGACTAGCATTTGATTCGGAGAACACGAAGGAGCGACTAAGCACCGGTCAGAGACATACCTACATTCCTATCACTTTGAAAAAGAATACATCTTGATAAATTATTACAATTTGATAATACAAATTAAATTGACAACGGAAATTTTATTTTTTATCGGCCTGTCCTTTGTCGAACAGTTGAGGACTTTACATAATTAACAATTCTATTGTAGATTCATTATAATGAAATGTATAATAAACTTGGTTGACAATGCGATAAGGTACTTATATTACAATTTCAATGTGCTGCTACGTATGTTTGTGGTTAAATCCAAACATTTCTTTTTTTACGTATTTAGTTGTTTGTAAACAAGTTTCATTGGATTCTTGTCATTTGTCAAAGTGAGTCGTCGCGTTTCTTTTAAACCGACTTCAAAAAAGGAGGAGGCTCAATTCGACAGTATTTTTTTTGTGTCCCGTGTGACTTTTGACTGGGTGAATCGATTTTAATGATTCTTTTTTATTAGAAAGCTGACGCTTCCCGTGTAGTCCCAATTTAGTCCAGTTTTGATAGTGGTACCTATCCATGAGAAAACCATATAAGTCTTAAATTTGCATTAAGTACGTGCGCGACAAATAGATGAAAAACTCAATAACTCAATATCACGCCAACCGATTTCGATGATTATTGTTTTTAGTGTATATTAATTTGTTTTGGAATATCTTTTTTGTTTCTATTTGAAGTCGGTTTTTGTTAAAGCATGTCTATTTACAATTATTGTTCGTTCGTGTTCTACTTGCAATCACAACGTTTATTTAATTAGGTTAATAGCTTGGTAAAATTGATGTTCGCACTTTAGCGATGGTTTCCGTACCATCATCGCGCATTTATTCTTCTTAGCTATGGAATGAGCTCCCCTCCACGGGGTTTCCCGAGCGCTATGACATGTCCTTCTTCAAAAGAACCTTGTGGAAAGTATTAAGCGGTAGGCAGCGGCTTGGCTCTGTCCCTGGAATTGCCGAAGTCCATGGGCGACGGTAACCGCTCACCATCAGGTGGGTCGTATGCTCGTCTGCCTACAAGGGCAATAATTAACAAGCTTTTTCCCGATCTAGTGCCAGGGTCTGATTTCCTAATTAAACTCCTCCACTTCCAGTTCTTAAATTTACTCTATTAAAAATATTTAATGTTTATCTTCATTTATATCCTCCAACCAGGTGGACTGACGACTTAGTGCGCACGGCGGGAAGTCGTTGGATGCGGAAGGCGGAGGACCGCATTATGTGGAAGGCATTGGGGAAGGCCTATGTCCAGCAGTGGGCAGATAAAGGCTAATGATGATGATGATGATGATCTTCATTTAACATATCGGTTTATTCACTTGGAATGTGAAACAAAATTAATTAAACGAATAAGATATTGAATTTCTTAAGGATAATCATGCACGATGAAAACGTGGCTACCTTAATCATTCAATTGGTTTCAATCTAAACGCTGCTTACAAAGCTCCAAACTGATTTTCCTCAAAACTTATTAACATTTCGGGTTTAAAACACGAAGCGATTGTAAAGTTTATCGACATTATAAAAACAAAGGCTCACTGTGACTCATCTATCGAATATAATACATACACTTACTTACTGAATGAATCATTATAACAAAACACATTTTTGTTACCCAAAATTAGTTATTACTATTATTAATTCAGACATCAGTTTATCGTTTCCTAAACGCTGAGTCGCGAATAACAATAAAAACGTAGGCATGCTCATTATCATCAAGTAACACAGGGAAAACCTATCAGCCCGCTTATACGCCCCCTTGGATCATCATAATGTGCGTCCATATGAAATTTTACACCTAACCTCTTTATACGGCAATCTTAACCCGAGACACAAATAATTCTACGTCATCAAATCGACTCGTATTTCGCGAACAATACAAGAGTTTGCAATATGAATTTCTCACGTATTTATTGTCAATATGACGATATTTCAAGTGCAAAGTGAGCTACAATAGTATACGCGTGTGTGTGAAGTAGTTACTTGTTTGTAGATTTATCACAGGAGTTCACGTTTTGCGGCTGTGAGTTGGTTGCGAGTCTCAGAGACATACAGCCGGTACCTTTTTTTTTTAATGACCAGGCTTTTTAAAGGCAATGTAGTGGTATGGTATGGCATCCAGGAACTAGTACACAGCGGAGTGCCTGATTGCAACAGTGGCACCTGCGGATGAATGGATTTATACAGTGGAAGATCATCAACAGATTTTCAAAGTACCCTCATTTCGACAACACGCCACTAAAAGACTGCGTGATTTAAATACAAATTACATTCACGTTGTGCTGATTGTGCTCCCGTTACTTATTCATATCTGGTAGCTCATCTGAATAAAAATTTAATATAATATATGAGTCGTCTATTATCAAAGGTGGCAATCTGTGCATTTGGACAAAAAAATGTTATTGATATGTCAATACAGATTGATTTTAATATAATCGTCTCCTTCAAAGAATACGGTTCAAAACCTGCATTAAATAAAGGTTAATACTTAACCTGTTATTTATCTAAGATGTCGTTTAGAAGAGTTTTGTGACTGCCAATGGAATACAAAGTCAATAATTCGTTTTTCTGATTTACCAATAATTGTCCAAAAGTCACATTGCCGGCTTTGATAATAGTAATAGTTTGATAATATTATGTATGTATACTAACACCACATAATGAGCTAGGATAAGTTTAGATCCGATTAATGAACCCGTCCGGATATAAATCGAAGCGGTTATATGCTACCCGGCCTCGTCTAACTACTCCTACATTCACATCATCTGTCCATAGTAGCAATATGAGCCTTATTACAGAAAGTTAGTCTACCCGAATCAGCACGGCGACCCTGCTTTTTTTACCACGAACAAAACATACTACGGTTTTTCATTGAGCAACCCAGACTTATTTAAGTTGTTGAACTTTAAATGCCGCTACCCACCTTGAGACCTGAGTTTTAAGTCTCAGTTCTATAGTACAACGGCTGCCCCACCCAATCAAACCGGGACTTATTACTGCTTCACGGTAGGAATGAGCAGAATGGTGGTACCTCCCCTCCTGGCTGAGCCCTTGCTCGCTCACCTGCCCTGATAAAACTGGATAGGCCTTCGGGCCACCAGTAATCTCAAACGTAAAAAGGTACCTACCCGTGCAGGCTCACTAGACGTCCTACCGTCAGTAACTACGAAAGTTATAATTTTTGGGCAGTTTTGATTTTTATTACACATGTTATTCCTTCATCGTGGAAGTCATAAACTTCGCAAAGTGGGGAGCAGTTTTCAAAATGTATGTCTATGGTAGTTATTTATCCGGTTCACATTACCTCCTAATGGGTCCTAAGCGCCACTTAAGATGGGTGGACGAGCTCACAGCCCACCTGATGTTAAGTGGTTACTGGAGCCCATAGACATCCACAACGTAAACGCGCCACCCACCTTGAGATATAAGTTCTAAGGTCTCAAGTTTAATTACAACGGCTGCCCCACCCTTCAAACCGAAACGCATTACTGCTTCACGGCAGAAATAGGCAGGGTGGTGGTGCCCACCCGCGCGGATTCACAAGAGGTCCTACCACCAGTAAACCTGTACCACATGCAGCTAAACAATTTTGGTATTTTATCTCGTATTACAGTTTTAGATCTTTGATTTAATTCTCTCACAATCTGTTTCGACGTTGTATAGTGAATATAATATTATACTAATATTAATTACTGCGAATCTTACATATCCAATAAACGCTTACTCGGTAATCAGACGAATGGAAACCTTACTTGTTGCGTAACTCATCGCAATTGCAAAATCAGACCGTAAATACCTAAGTGATGAAAACGGTTGAAATTTTTATCGTCAAGACTCGCGGAACAAAGCCTCATTGTCAAGTATCAGCAGTGTTGGATTACCGAGCCGATCTCAGTACCAGGAACTCGTATTATCGCTAACGATTAGCCACAAATGACATCACGCGCTGCAATTGGTGTTGCACTTATCGTGTAAGATACGTATTAACTATTTAGTTATTTTCATATTAAAAGGTTACTTTTTTGATGTTGGTGGAACAGAAGATTACACAAAGTGGGAATGAGTTGCTCGCTCCAGGCATTTCAATATTGTAGTAATTGTTACGTTATAATACTAATTGTAAAAAATTCATATTTAAAAAAAAATTAATATTAAAAAATAAATAAATAATAATTTCATATGTAAAAAAAAAAGACATGCCCGCTGAGTTTCTTGCCAATTCTTCTCAGGACGGAGGCTAGTTCTTGTGAATTGGCGGTAGTTCTTTTGACGTTCAACAAATATGCACTTTCATTTAGGGTGAATAAAAATTTTTTGATTTGATTTGAATCTCAATATTGGTCGAAAATAATAAACTGATTTTTATTGTCATCTGTTTTTAATATGTGTGCAAATTTTCATGTTAACCAAACGTCTTGGAGCTGAGGAAAATTGCGTGAAATTCCATTGCACCTCTCTATACGTAGATACCATCAGGCTATGATTAGCCTTTTGATGATTCAAATCAATTAACGGCATAATCATCATGGTTCCTTAATAGAATATTTGCTAAGGCCCTAAAGTCGGGGCAGAGGGCTTCAATAGTACTTGACCATCACACCAATCTTGGCCTTAAATGCTTTTGTTTAGGCCAGGTTAACCTGATTGTCTTCAGCATCAAGCTAATACGAGCTTGTTTTAGCAAATTGGCACACATGACAGAGCAACAAGTCACTTATCTACAGATGCATAGATTTGATTAAGTTCTTTTATGTTATGTTCCTAATTGTCAAGACAAGGTATGTATGGATTATTTCTTTCAATTGAAGGTATTTCCATAATCTTTATACAATTAGAGATACTAATGTCTAAAGAAGATTTATTGAAGATTTTTTAAATTTATTTAGCTCCTTTACAATTATTATTAGTTCTCCGAATGTTTTCTTACTGGTGACGGCTTGCCTATTCTGTAATCTAAATGCTGTCAGATTCTCGATAACAGTTCCCAATAGCAGAGGCAAATGTTTAAACACATTTATTTAAAAACATTTGTTACTATTACAACTTTCATAATAAACAAAACTTGTTTTAAAAATAATAATAAAAATAGACGTCAGTTTTAAATTTACACAAGTGTTCATTGAATAATTCAGAACATAGGTGCATTATTCACATTAAAGTACAGTCATTGAACACAAACGTTAAGGTCACAAATAATGATAAACTGGGTAGGGAGATAATAATTATGGTAGTTAGGGGGCGTAGTCTTCAATTTTATCTATATCTATCATAATCTATAAATAATGTGGAGAGTCTGGACATAAATTGATTATTCACATATTCTTGAATCCCTATAAAATAATATCTAATAGGAGTATGGAAAAAATCTACCAGTTTATTTTTTAATTTTTTTTTTTAATTTATGGTTAATTAATTTATTATTTATAATTAATAATAGATAATAGATAATTTCTTTTCAGATTAGGATTTTTGTTAGGATTTAAAGTGAATTTAGCAACTTTTTATACAGATTTGACGCACTGTGAAAACTAACCATTACTATTATTAAAAAAGTCAACCTTTTTTACTTAATAGTTATCAGTTTTTAAACGGACACTCTGTTGTTTATTTTCTTATCTATTTGTTTAATACGGTGTTTGGTAGACTTGCTTTACTGTTATTCATTATGGCTTCTGGAGATCAGACAATACAATGACTGCCTTATATAACATCCCATAGTTGAGCACACTCCATCTATTACCTCATTTATATAAAAATTACACTTACCGTTGTCAACTTTGGTATATGTCACATTGAATTGAGCTGCAAACTTAAGAACAATGCAGGTTATGTTGGTCTCTGAATCTGTATATGTCCAGTTTCCTTGGTCTGGTGAGGGAAGAGGACCGGGGGCCGGAGTGGGTGCTGGAGCCGGAGTGGGTGCTGGTGTTGGTGTTGGAGACGGTTTAGTTGTGGTTGTGCTAGTTGTACTAGTTGTATTAGGAGATACTGTAGTGGTGGTTGTGGAAGGTGTGGTAGTGGAGGTTGTGGATGTGGAAGATGTAGTAGTAGAGGTTGTGGATGTAGTGGTGCTGCTGGTAGTTGTGTCAGGCTTGGGGGTTGTCTCTGTAGTGATTGCCTCTGTTGTCATTTTATCTTCTAATGATGTTGGTTTCATAGATGTAGGTACATCAATGAGTTCTGTAGCTAGGCCACCAGCAGATAAATGACCTGTGAGAGAATAACTTTGTTAATATTTGTTTATCAAGATAATGTTACACACAATCATTACTACTATGAACTCGACTATCAACCTATGGTAAGTAACAAAAAAATTTTTCTTAATTTAACCAGTGAGTTCATATCAATAAATAGTCGCACAGCAATAGTGTGGGTCACAGTAATTCAGAAAAATCACAACATTAATGCGACGCCTATCTCAAATCCTAAGGCAGAATACTCAATGGATATTGGAAAATAGTTGTGAACCCTTTAAGCAGTAGCTCATGGCTGCTTCGCATGCAGAAATGAGCCAAACAGTACAACCTACTTGCGTAGGGTTAAAATATACCCTCTTACAATGGTAATTGTGCAAGTTTATAAATTTCCTATCTTTCCCCCAAATTAAAAAGTCGATCATAGAAACAAGTAGTCATTTTTGTAGTTGGTTGTCCTAAAGAATTACACTATCAAGCTGCATCAATTTTAACTTCTAAAAATAAATAAAATCCCCTACAAGGACATCCCTGGGCTCTCATAAACATCTATCTTAGTGCTATTTATGTCTTCAAATAAATGATTTATCATCGCCTTCTAACATTTACTGTTATGTAGGTATGACAAGAATCTAGAAACCTCGACAAATGTAAACTCTGTGATCTTTTAATACTTTTATTGCGCAAAAAGCATTCAATCATATTAACAAAGCGAACGAACGGTTACTCCCAGTTCGTTCGAATGTACATAACGCGATAAAAACTAACAATGACGGACATTAAGAAACGAAAAAACTGTAATACGACTTACCCGCTCTACAACAGCTGAACAGCACAACGATTGTGTATAAATATCTAAAATGCAGCATTTCGATTTTTTTAGGAAATACAAGTGCCGTCACAAACAATAAAAACTGAACTATTAAATTATTTAAATAACTCTCCAGACGATAATCAGATCACAATGCAATGCGAAATGAAAATGAAATATCCATGGACGATTAACTGACACTAAGGAAAAAGTAATTTCAAATAGGGATGTCCAAGAGAAATCGATTTAAAAATTTAAATCGATAATAAATAACCATAAAGAATATATCCATAGTCATTTCGTCTGCGTCAATTATTTGTAATTCATCGAATGCACCACAACAAAAATAATAAAATCATAAGCTTGAGACGGCTGCTTAAATTCAGTCCTCTTTACCAAAGCTCAATAAGTATAAGTTTGGAAATGATTTGGATTTATTGAAATACAACTAAGAGTGAACTTATGCGAAATTTAGTATGTAGTTATTTAGTTAATTGTAATTGTATCATTTCGTGAATTTACGTCGGTTGTGATTAATTATTTTTAATGTGATGAAATTTAATAACTCCAGGTTTTTTTTGTTTCCAGATAAATAAAGACTCAAGCAAATCGTCTAAAAGATGAATTTTTGCTTCATTGATCTTTTCGACATCAATAATCAAAAAATCAATTCACGAATTTGAGATTTTTTTTTCACTTCACTTCAGCTTGCTTGAAAGACATTTTTTGGGAAGAGTCGTCATCCCTAATTTCAAGTTCATATTATTATTATTATTATTGGTGGTGGTAACTCTACATCTATGAAGTAGAAACCAATTTTAGGGGAAGTCCTCTACAAAACAGTTTTACGCATTAAATAGTATTGCCAAGATTTTACTAGTTAATAAATATAGAAAAAAATTAATATACGACAAAATATACATGTGTGTTTCGTTATATTTAGGTTAGGTATATTTCGGGGGCTCTGAGTTACTTTTGTAATATTGCGGTCAATGGTAGGTATATCATCTCATTCCATTTTCTACTAATTAATAATAATATTTATGATAATAATATATCTTCATAATTATTACCATAGATAAAATTACCACATAAATTAGTTAATAATAAGCAACTCAAGCACTCAACAAAAATGTTTACGGACGTCGGTCACTAGATGGCTTCGCTTCCATTAGTTTCTCATTGCTCATGTAGACGGCAGTAACATATTATCCCTGTTTTATTTTTAATGAGTCCTTCATTAAACATTCATTCGTACATTTCTTCATTTGTACATTTTCAGAAATCACAAATTGATAAAATTTTATAAATTTTTCTCTATCAAATAAAGACTCGCATTTTTGTCTGCGTTTAGTTATACAATAATTAAATGCCAAAATAAACCTAACCTTAATGTGTTTAGGGGCATCCGCTACAAGATGTCGCTAGTTTCCATATAAAAATATATTTGCAGTTTCAGGGCTCTGATTATTACTGTAATATGCAAAATATCTCATCAAGAAAACGATTATGAAAGATTTTCACTTAAAAGATAAATAATTTAAAAGTTAAAATACCAGCATGAGTAATCTATACTAATATTATAAAGAGGAAAGATTTGTTTGTTTGTTTGTTTCGAATAGGCTCCGAAACTACTGGACCGATTTGAAAAATTATTTTTCCATTAGAAGCCGACATTGTCCCTGATGAGCATAGTGTTTTAATGTTTCCGAAGCGAAGCGAGGGCGGGTCGCTAGTTGTGTTGATAATTTGATGTATTTTGATTTTATTATTATAAATTGATGAAAATTAAATTTTACTAAAATTTTTATTCCGATTCCGATTACGCAATACGGTTTACGTACTATGTATAATATTTTATAAAAAGTTCATCTATTGAATAAATTATGTTTTGTTTCGGTTATTCTGTTTTTTTTTTGAGACCAATTTGCTAAGATAACCTATGCTAGGTGGCTAGATACAGCTATGCTAGGTGGATTTTACAAATATAAAATGAGTTTCAGCGTCTCATGTACCTACGTTTCGAATCTGATTGAACTATACATTTCATTTGGACACAGAATGCAGTTGTTAACCACTGCAATTCGTTGTGCAACTGCGAATTAATGTATTTTTTACTGGTGGTAGGACCACTTGTGAGTCCGCGCGGATAGGTACCACCGCCCTGCTTATTTCTGCCGTGAAGCAGTAATGCGTTTCGGTTTGAAGGGTGGGGCAGCCGTAGTAACTATACTGAGACTTTAGAACTTGTATCTCAAGGTGGGTGGCGCGTCTACGTTGTAGATGTCAATGGGTTCCAGTAACCACTTAACACCAGGTGGGCTGTGAGCTCGTCCAATCATGTAAGCAATAAAAAAAAAATTATAATTAATTTAATACTTAATAAAATTCCAGTCTCGACTTTTCCAAATGCTTAAATTTTATTGCCTGCATTGTACTTGCATATCTCATCATCATATCTCAAAATTAAATTCAGTCGTTAATGATTTCTGTTTAAACATGATTTCTGTATACAAATTATAATGTAGAATAAGTAAATATTGGTTATTATTTCTTTGGTTATTTCTTGATAAAGGAGCATCCATTGCATTGAAGATCCTAAAGTGGCCAACACATTTCTCAAAAGCTGTGTGGCAGTTAATGAGCAGATCGTTGTGACAAGGATTTCTCCAGGGCCGATTGCAGTCTCATAGCTTGATTCTTACATTTTGTATTCACTATATATGACGCGACTGGTACCGTGTAGTTTTTACAAATGAAGACGTTAGCAACGCTGATAATATTTACCAATTGTGAAGTAGTTACAATGTAAAATTTAAACTATTTCGGGATCGTCTTGTGGCAGCACCATTGTTATATGGCGGGGTCGTTGCCTGGCGGGAAAAAGAAAACGAAAAATGGCGGGTCTATAGGTAGGTATAGATACTTTAAACCGACCGATAACTTTGGGGTGAATGAAGTTAGCCCCTCAAAAAAATTTTTTTTTCCTGTTTTCTACTTATTTTCTATTAATTCGTTTGTTCATCATTTGTTCTTGATTGTTTACTGTTAATAATAGTTTGTTCCCCATTTATTTATTTTAAAAAAATTATTAAAAATATATCTAAAAGTTAGCCCCTCGATTGCAATTTTTAATATTTTTTCGTCCTTAATTACTCGTAAATATTCATTTTCGATTGTTCTTATATAAAATACGTTTGTTCTCTTTCGAAATTACTCATTTTTTGTTTAATTAATTGTATTAGTTGAATAAATGTATACANACAATCGAAAATGAATATTTACGAGTAATTAAGGACGAAAAAATATTAAAAATTGCAATCGAGGGGCTAACTTTTAGATATATTTTTAATAATTTTTTTAAAATAAATAAATGGGGAACAAACAATTATTAACAGTAAACAATCAAGAACAAATGATGAACAAACGAATTAATAGAAAATAAGTAGAAAACAGGAAAAAAAAAATTTTTTGAGGGGCTAACTTCATTCACCTATAACTTTGTAAAAGTGTAATTACAAAGATTACAGTAACAGTACGAATTAAGTAAACTATTGCAGTTGGTGTTTCATTTCCTGGTTGGTCCATACATTACACAATGTATTATCAGAACTGACAGAACGTTGGTAAACGTAGGAAATGAAATGTTCGTCTCGGTTAATAGTGCTGTGATAGTGATTTTTAGTTGTATTTAGTAGGTATTTACTACAATCATTGCTTCCCTGCTAATCCATCAATACGACCGTAATGGAAAAAGATATAAATTAAAAATGAAACAAGATCATTTTTTATTTTTATTTTAACATCATAACTGTAATTATATGTTTATCATTTAAACTTAATTCTAATTAGAAACAATAATTAACAATAGATATAATTTATGAAAATTAATACAAAAACCAAGTTTAACAGAGTATCACTTATAATTCCATAGATTTCAGCTCACATTTAGACAACAGCAAAAAACTATAAAAAATTACATGAAAACCATTAAAAAAAAGTTAATTTTAAGTTTGGTAAAAAAGAACCTAAGCCATATAGAGATTGGTATCAAATCTAAAAAAATAAATGCATTACTAAACCCTTATTATTGTGTGTTTTATCGATACAACTAATGTCTGTGAGGTACATAACCACCACACAATAATAGAACATGAACAACATACGTATTTTAATTCTACATGATGAATTATCATATTTCTTTTTTCATTATGGCAATTGACTACTATTTTCAATAATTTGGTTACTTACGGCCAGGGTTACAAAACATTATAAGCCAATTTCTACGAAAACAATTATTATGACTTTTTGACGCACACAATTTCTAAAAAAACGATATGTAACGACGAAATAAAATAAAGTTAATTAGATAAATTGAGTCTTTATTAATCAATTGTTTTGGAATTATTTGAAACGAGATGGTATGGGATGAAATAAAGTCTCAGTGAAACGGTGGTTACTTAGCAACACTTCAGTGGACTTGAGACAGACATTTAAAGCATTAGATTATCCTACTAATTTCGAGATCCTTCACAGCTTACTACACATACGATGTTTTTATTTACCCAGGCTCACAGAAGACCATTACAATAACGCTAATAACAGCTATCCTATCCTTCAAACCTTTAATCTTAAATAGGTAGTACGAATAATCACAATTTATTTTTATTTCATTACTTTCATTCTTAGAATAAGAACATATTATTAAGAATTCCGAAAAACTGGTGTGATTAAATATTATCGAAGTTCGTAAGAGATTGTTAATGCCCCACTATATATATTTTTAAAACCTAAATAATCATTAGACCTAACAATTTTGATTAGTGTTACAACAAATTTTTTAGAACGGTTATTTTTTTATTTTAAATAAAGCATCTACCACAGGACAACAACACCCTCAATTGATTAGTAAAGAATGCCTCAGCCATTAAGTCTGGCACTGTGCCCTTGTCCATAATGTTAATAAATATAATCAAAATATAAAAATAACTATAATACAATCTTTAAAATTATCAAAAGTACTAATTGATTGGCACTCACTACTACTACATGTTACAATTACACAATACATAAACAGAAAAGCAGGCTCAATTGCACACAACAATCCATTTCAACATAACTATCTATAGTAGTATGATACAGTATCTAAAGAAGCACTTGTAGCTGTTTAAAACTCATTATTCAATCCAGAATAGTTAATAAATAAAACTTGAACTTGAAACTATAAAAGTTTTGTTTCCTACTGAATTTAATTGGTTAAGTAGGTAGCTAGTTTAGTTGTCTTTCAAAACAAAATTGCATTATACTAAGTATAGAAGATACTATACTAAGTATAGATTTTAGGAAAAAGGAATACCGATTTCAACTGAATAAAATGACAATAACACTAATGTTGTCGAATTTACTTAATTAAATAATAATTTGCATTAATAAGGATAACTCAAAACCATCTGGTCGAAGCTTGATCAAATTTAAATGAGACCCCAGGAGAAAAACAAGCTTTCAAATAAAATATAATCTTTAAGTTGGTTCTTTTAAAAAAATATTCTGACACAGCACACAAAATAATTGAATTGATAACCTCTTTTTTTGTGAGGATGGTTAAAAAAGAAAAGTATTGCCACTTTTTTTAAAAATTCGTTCGTTTTTATCATATTGCACTTAGATGCACCAAGCACATACTTGTAATTACCAGCCAGTTAAGAGGTTTAAATACAATTGTCAATGTTAATACCAATTATCTTAATACATTCTGCCAGCCAAAATCTATTAGTACAAAGCTGCAGTAAAAAATTCATATTGGCATCACACAAACTTATTTAAATAATTATCTAAATATTAATGTAAAAATTGCACAAAGTTTCAACTTCATAATATCATAGGAAGAACACATTAATTCTACATCTAACCACTTTTATATTTTAGAAAATACATAGCATATTTATTAGACAGGATTAACATAACGCTAATACCATGGTTACGTCAAAGGATAAAGACTAAGTAAAGTCTTTAAATCTTACAAACCTATATAAATAATAAATTGTCCAAAGAATTCTAGTCTTACTACTGGAGTACTATTTTACTTGGTGTTAGAGGTAATGGACTTAAAAGGGTTGATACAGAATAAAAAGAAACACCAATATTAAGTCAAATGATATTGCAGCTGATAGAAAAATAATATTTAAAGTCTGTTTTACAAATCATTTTTTTTTCTTTCAAATCATTTCAAATTCAACATGGCACTGATCTGCGCTGAAATGCGAAGACATAAAATGAAAAAAGTATCGTGCATGATAATATTTTGCCGGACTCTTATCAGAAAACACGGGCTTGCAACACTGACCACCTCAGTTTACTATTGCTTCTTTCTCGTCTTCCTTTCATATTAATAATTACACTCTAAGCGTTATTAAGCATTCTTTGGCCATTTAATCATTGATTATAATTTATTTATCCCAGGCCTAAAATTCACAAGGACTGCTGATAGGGGTGTGTTAAAATTAGTTTGCGCATCTGAGATATTCAGATCGGATGTTTTACGATGCTGATAGAAGGTTTTGTGTTGTGTTGACTGGTGGTCAACACAAAACTACTAAACTCGTCTACTAAACTCGCACGGGTAGGTATCACCACTTCAGTTATTTCTTCCGTGGAGCGATAGTACGTTCTGGTTTGACTATAAGGGTTGGACTATATGGCGTTGTACTATAAAACTTAAACTTAGAACTCATGTCTCAAGGTGGGTACCAGGTTTACGTTGTTGATGTCTATGGGCCTCCTAATTACTTAACACTAGGTGAACCGTAAGCTATTCCGGCTGTTCCAGCAGTAAATAAAATTTACATTGTTTTAAGGGGGCCCAGGAAAGCAGCATGTTTTAAGTACTAATTGTAATAAAGATAATTAAGAAAAAATATATTGGTAAATAAAATATCTACTCCTAGTTTATTAGAGGTCAGTCTCTAATAGTCACTACAGAGTGTTACCAGAATAACAAAAGCGGTAGAAATGGTAGAATAAATTGCAATTTAGTTTCCACAATTCTGACTTCAAAATTGATATTCCTTTTAACTATATCAACATGATTCGTGTAACAACATAAAGTTTTGCGTGGTTAATAATTCGAAATGCAGAAAAGTTCACTGTACTAGCAACTCAAAACGGGCCCTTCCGACGCGGCTAGAAGGGCTGTAGATAATATCACGCGACCAGATACGACATTCCACGTTCACTACCACTCCACCTGTAACAAAATGTGTGCAAAATTAAAAATAGCCTGTTTGCCTAACGTCGGGTTGGCTTATGGTAGAAATACCTGAACTCCCCTACTCTGACCGGGTTCTGACCCTAGATTGGGCGTCTGGTGTAAGAGTGCAGGGGAGTAGTTTAGTGCGGTAGGGCCCTAAAGCATCTTTGGGCCCGCGGTCTGCTCCCAACATCTGCAACTCGCACTAAGCACACTGGCCACGAACTCTTCATACAATTACAGATTTCAACTATTTTGAAATTTCTTAACTTCGCCTAAATCGATGATGCGTGTAACGGCTGTTTTAACTAAACCAACAAACTCACGTCTGGGATTCTCGAAGTAAACGGCGACAAGTGGCCCGGGCACTGGATCAGGTAGGTTCCTGGTGGCATAAGGGATCTTATCGGCGGTGTGGAGGCGGTGCGTCGGGAAGCCTGGAGGCAGCAACATGGGCACGATGTGGACAGGCCCGATGTTCTCCTTGTCAGCCGTGAACTCACCTTCGCAGCTCACCCAGATCGTGTCGCCATATTTATCAGCAGGGAATTGACGCTGTTTGAAAATATGAAAGCCTTTATATGAACTGTATTCAGTGTATTCTTTCAGCTACCAGAATCCCATGGTGTAAGTAAAGACATCTAATCACCAGAAGTAAGAGGCGATTATTACCTTTTACAAACAATACACAATATTATAATATATTTGGAGATGCAGGAGAATTTCGGTGTATTTTACTTAATACCTGGAGCCACTGCGCTCATCCACAGTGCGTTTCCAGAGATATTTTTTGCCATATACCATCCGGCTTTGGAATGAGTTTCCCTCCTCGTTGTTCTCGAGCGCTATGACATGTCCTTCTTCAAACAAGGCTTGTAGAGAGTACTTAACGGTAGGCAGCGGCTTGGCTCTGCCCCTGGCATTGCTGATGTCCATGAGCGACGGTAACCACTCACCATCAGGTGGGCTGTATGCTCGTCTGCCTACACGAGCAATTAATAAATAAAAAATATACACACGACATAAAATCTCTCAGACCATTTATTTTAGCCCAACTATGTATATTGATATGCGCGGTTTACGCGGTGCGTCCATGACAGAGAGCTCGCTACCCAAACAGTGTTGCCTGCCTCTATTTAACAAGACAAGACAAGAAGGGGTCGTCGTACCCCCTTACGGGACACGGAACGAGCCTCGGGGCAAACCCCACTTGCCGGGCAGAAGCTCCCTGCCACACAGGGCAGGGGTGAGATAGATGCAGGATGAGATGAAGGGGGGGCTGTTCGCTGCGTGCTCGGCACACTCACATCGACAAAAAATATATACTTATACATAATACGATGGGCTTGGTTAACTCCGGGAATGATGCCCGGCGGCAGGACCCACCGGCGTCTGTTGTCCTCTGCTTGCGGTTTTTTTTTCTATTTAACATACACCACAAATACTAAGTAATCTTTTGTTGAAGAAGAACCTATAAAATTGCAATCACTAACCACTTTTATGTGAGAGATTCCTATTAACGCGACAAGCGATGTAAATTTAAAAAATAATATATAGTACCTTACCATCATGAACTGTAGGTTTTGTGGCATCTCCTGCGGGATCGGCAGAGGCGAGGTGATGTTGTAAGGATGCGGAACCCAGTAATGAACCTGCGGCACGAATTAGCAGTCGATATTAGTATTTGTCTACAATGAAGCTTAGGTAACCTAGTTTCTTTTATTTTTCAACTGACTTTTCATTTGATAATGTCGAGGGGTGGAATGCTATTTGGTTTAAGCGACATTTCGCTTAATACGTGACTTTTATCTTTGTAATTAAAGGTCCGTTTTATTTGGTATTAGTATAAAAAATTTGATGTTTTTAATTAAACTTCAATTAAGTTTACCGCTTAGAATAGCTGAAGAAGTTTTTTTGTTATGATATTTTTTTCAAATTGTTTAAATTACTTTGCTATCCTGTTAACCTCATGGTATATATGTATTGGTATATATGCATGGTATATTTGTATTGTTTAACGCTGTGACGTGGTTAATTACATTGTAAAATTTCTAACACGATAAGGAACTAGTTATTTACTATTAAATTGTACTATGTACGTACTTTATTATGTTTCTTAAAAAAACTAAGTTTTATTTTTTATTGCTTAGATGGGCAGACGAGCTCACAGGCCACCTGGTGTTAAGTAGTTACTGGAGCCCATAGACATCTACAACGTAATTGGGCCACCCACCTTGAGAAATTAGTTCTAAGGTCTTAAGTATAGTTACAACGGCTGCCCCACCCTTCAAACCGAAACGCATTACTGCTTCACCGCAGAAATATGCAAGGTGGTGGTACCTACCCGCACATACTCACAAGAGGTCCTACCACCAGTGATTACCAGTAAGTACATAGTTTCGAATATCAAGAGGCCGCCATCTAAGGCAAAGGTAGTTTTCAGGCGTCACAGTTTTTTAATCATTCTACGATTTTTAATCATCTTACTTTACGTGCACCATTCAAAAATCGATAAAATCTAAATTTTCGCTTGAAAACGACATTTTTCTTGAGAATTAAAACGTTTCAAATGCTTCTCTATTATCTTCTATAATTGATGATATGTGATAAAACCATATACACTAATTAAATATCTCTCTGCTCTCTTTTCTTATTTAAATTAATACTCACGTGAGATAACCGTAAGAACACGCACGGTCTGCCATCGGGGTAGCCATAAAAATGATCAGCTGTGCACGGAGCCCATACTTTCATGGCCACACTACAGGAGTCGGAACGGATGATCATGTCGCGCTGGTTGTGAATGGTGCATGGAGCTCGAGGTGGATTATCGGGAACAGAAGTCTCGTAGACTTGAAGTAAAAAATATATATATTTTACGAGATTTTAGCGAATAAGATGATACTGTGGTTTGTTATTTACTCTCTCCTATTAGGGACTTTTTGGCGGGAGCGCGAGGAGTGATGTGTGATTTGTTTTATTTTATCTATTTAGTGTTTCTTCGGGTTTAAATGTGTAATAACTGTTTTATAAACTGTTTAGTATCTGTGAAAGTGCACAAATGTGGGAAAATGAAACAAAACCGCTGAACGTAACTTCTCGGGATCCTCCAAAAAGTCCACTGAAAAGGTCTTAGTAAATGACCACCATTTTACTGAGATTATCCTTCATCCCATATCATCTCATTTCATTTCCTCTTCATTTCATTCAATTTTATGCCATGTTTCATATTAATGAACTTCATTTAATTTCATAATAATATAATTATTCATATAAAAAAAGTTTTCACTAAAATTAAAGTAAGATTTGACAAAGGTCTTAGTTACCAGGTCATAAAATCCCTTAAAAAATCTCCTATTAGCGGGAAAATTGCACTCGATAATAAATAGGCCATACTACTAAGTATTTTATAAACACTTATAATGTTTAGGTACATAGTGTACAGTATTGTAATATTAACAAGAAACGGAGATAAAGAAGTTAGGCAGTAGGTCATACTAATTATATTAAATTACGAAGATATCATTTTTATGTTAAACATTACTAAATCGGCGCGCGAATAGCCGCGCATCTTGTCGACTGAGTTCTAGTGACATCTGCATAGATAATAAATACAATCTGCGTATTCGGAAATTCCGATTGCGCCATAGACCTATTTCCTACTTCAGTGGATTGCGCCCGATGACGCCCGAGTACGATTTAGATTTTAGATGTATCAATGTTGCAAGCTACAATACGATTAAAATACTAACAGCTTTGTGGTGTGCCCATATACAGAACAAATTGAATTCTACCACCAACATTCGGATTTAGGGTTCAGGCATTTCTGTGATCTTACGATCCAACCTCTCGTCTACAAAATTAGGTCCAGTAGCAACGTAGCGGCCTGGAGTGAGAGGATAAACCTATTATCCTGATCTGAACCATAAAATTTTGTTGTATATTTTGTCTCTCATGGTAATTCGATAGAGTGGACACCAATTTTATTTATTTCAAACTCACCTTTAAGGAATTCACTAATGCGACGGTACCAAGGATGCCAGCTGCCGGCGTCACTCGGCGTGAAATGGATCATCGGTTGATAATAGTTGAACTCCTCAGATCGAGGCCACACCTCCAGCTCTGTAAAATCATACTATTACAATGCACAGAAACCAATAGCACCTGACATTGTGAAGCAAAGAGACGCACTGACAAATAAATCCAAACTTTAAAATTTAATATCACACGCCCAACAGCTGCCAGGGAAAAGGTATTCCTGTATGATGGGTGTTTTTTTTTCGATTCAAGGATCATTGGTGGCCCTGAGGCTTTTCAAGTTTCACCAGGACAGGGGGGCCAGCAAATGCTCAGCCAGGAGGAGTGGGATTAGATAGCAGCTGCCCGAGCGCCTCTAAAGGAGACCTAACAACTCAAGAGCAAATGCTTCGCAAATGAATCTGCTACCGGATCGCAATCACGACCCGCTGAGGAGATCCAGCGAGAAACTCAGCGAGCTGATCTATGGATTAAGTTGCACGACGAATCTCTTGCCGAATTTGACGAGTATGGTGACCTGAGTCCCTAAGCCGGCTCCTAGTGTTAGCTGAAGGCGTCTAATTCAAGGGTTATTGGATCTGATGGATCCGTAAGGACGTGTTTAGGGTGTCGACGGTGACTGTCTCTCGCGTGAACAGGGTTCGGAGAGTTATGGGTGTCTGTACATACACAAAGTACAACATCTGGCATCTCAGGATTAGATCAACGAGATGTTTCTTTCTTTAAGTACCACTTTTATCGTTTAGGCTAAAAATATAATTCAAGTAGTCGTATAGGTTGAAAGGGTTTACCAGATTCCACGTACTCACCAACATAGCGTTGCGGTAGCAGCAGACCCAACAGCAGTCCAAGGATTGTAGCTAAGAACAAGAAATACATTTGCTATAGTTTTGCTGAACTCATTGCTGGGCTGGTTTTAGGTAGGTAAAATTACAACCTCAACACTTATCTCAAGACTAGCGACCCGCCCTCGCTTCGCTTCGGAAACATTAAAACACACATGAAACCAAAAAAATAAAATAAAAAAAAAATAAAAAAAAGTAGCCTATGTTCATCAGAGACAATGTCGGCTTCTAATGGAAAAAGAATTTTTCAAATCGGTCCAGTAGTTTCGGAGCCTATTCAATACAAACAAATCTTTCCTCTTTATAATATTAGTATAGATATAGATATAGATAAGGTCAAAATCTTGATCACTTTTAGCGGCTGCCTCACTACAAACTGGGAGGCATGATAACTTTAGCGCAGAAATACACTGAGCAGCCACAGTGCGGAAACTAATATTATTGTTCCAAATAATAATATCCTTAGATACAAATGAAAAAAGTTCTTATTTAGCTATTAACCAACAAAACCATAGATAATATTAGGTACTTAATATTTAAAAAACAAACCTATAAAGGTTAGGATTTTAATAGTGGGCAGAGAAATCAAACTCATTGACATTTGTCTGTGGGCTTAATAATCTTTTTCATTCTTCTTAAAGTCGTTTATCTTCAAACCTCCTATTTTCCAATGTGATGTGTTTCAACAAAGATCAACGTTCGATTACTTAGTCATTGTCCGTGTCGGGTAGCCTTGTGAAGCCAGACAACTAAGAAAGCTCTTTTCGTTATTAAATTACCTAAGCTTCGCAAGCGCTAGCATTTCCTTTGGTTTTCAAAAGTCGTAAACATGATTTACGTTCAACCTCGTATTTTTTATGACTTCTGTAAGTCAGTGAGACTTACACCATATTTACATACATTTTGAATGTTTAATGGAGTAATTTACAAAAGTTAAATATTAATAAGTTTGCTTGGCTTTCAGTATTAAAGTCGACACACTGTATTATGCTATTTGTCAGAGTTTTTTTTTTTATCTTTCTTTTGGAATACCATCACTAATGGATAGGCCATTAGTGATGGTATTATTGTTATTATTATTATTCGTAACCTTTTTTTTTATTGCGCAGATTGTTAAACGAGCTCACAGCCCACCTAGTGTTAAGTGGTTACCGGAGCCCGTAGACATCTACGACATAATTGCGCCACCCACCTTGAAATATAAGTTCTAAGGTCTCAGTATAGTTACGACGGCTGCCCTACCCTTCAAACCGAAACACATTACTGTTTCACGGCAGAAATAGGCAGGGACCTAACCTACCCGTGCGGACTCACAAGTCGTCCTACCATCAGTTAAAAGAGTGCCGCCGACTAGGGCCGGCAATCTAATGTATAAGCACCCCACCGTATTATTATTTTTGCTTAGATGCGTGGACGAACTCACAGCCCACAGGTGTTAAGTGGTTACTGGAGCCCATATACATCTACAACGTAAATACGCCACCCACCTTGAGATATAAGTTCTAAGGTCTCAAGTATAGTTACAATGACTACGAAACGCAAAACATCGATAGGTATTTCATAAATCGCAGCAGATGAACGCATCCAACGATAAATGTAATAATAATCATTACTTGCATTTGCCAATAACAAAATGTCTATAATACTCATTGCTTCTACACATTCGTTGCTGAAACACTCAGGTGACTTCACCTCGTCCAGTTTATTCCGCCCTGTGGCTGATTCACAAGAAAAATCTATTCTAGGGCCACTTAATATAATGATATAATAGGTGAGAGCATTTTAATTGACAAATTTTCAACTCACCAATGACGATCACGGTGACAGCTACGGCGATAATTATTTTCACGGTGCGTTTTTCCATACCCATTATAACAGATTGAACTTGATTTTTAGTACCCCAAAGCTAGCACGTCCATGCGGTTGAGAGATAGAACGCAGAATGAGAGGCATTGTGAGGTCTTGGGATGGGGTGCCTCGCTTGCTCGGGCATAATGGGATCAGTTGTTTGATGTACATTGACGGCTCTATTAAAATCTGTGAAAAAAGGATTAATTGTGTATGAATTTCGTATTGAGGTATGTAAAAGTAAGTTTTCAGGTCTACTAAAAGTAATCGAAACAGTCTGTGACTAAAGATTGAATTTGCATATTTCCAAAATTTTTTAAGCTTTGTATACTATACCGGTTCGCCGTCAACGAAAGATAAAGCAAATTTTTTTTTACGAATTTGTCTATCAATAACTTAAAATATTCGAAACATTGAAAATAATATATTGACCGCTAGTTGACCCGGTAGACTTCGTAGTGCCTCAATCGATAAATAAAAGACCTAGACTTTTGTATAAAATAAACTTAAAACAAACAAAAGGAATCCGTCCGACGGGGACACATCAAAAAGAAAATTGTTATTTTTATTTAATTCTGAGCATTTTCATATTTATCTACCTTTTAAGCCTTCTCTGGACTTCCACAAATAATTCAAGACCAACATTAGACAAATTGGTTCAGCCGTTCTCGAGTTTTAGCGGGACTAACGAACAGCAATTCATTTTTATATATATAGATAGAAGATAGGTAATGATCGCTAGCTCAATTCGTAAAAATACTTATATCTAAATATATCTACGAGCTACGTAAAGAGAAGAAAGTACTACGCTACAAGGAACAATGCATCATTGAAGAGTATACCGCTCTAGTCTGAATTATGTTGCCTTCGTGACCTGCATACAACACTTCCAAATTTAGCTCAGGCCTTGAATATACTACTGTACTTACTGTAATAATTATTGGTGGCTGGTCTTGTGAGTCCGCAAGGGTAGGTACCACCACCCTGCCTATCTGTGCCGTCAAGCAGAAATGCGTTTCGGTTTGAAGGATGGGGTAGCCGTAGTAACTATACTGAGAACTTAGAACTCATATATCAAGGTGGGTGGCGGCATTTACATTGTAGTCTATGGGCTCCGGTAACCACTTAACATCAGGTGGGTCGTGAGGTCGTCCAAACATCTAAGCAATAAAAAAAAAAAACCTAAGAAACAATGACGTCCGTAGACAACAGCTTCCCATAGACAGCAGCCTCATCGATTTCCGGTTGCCGGCTGCGCATTTAAGGAGTTTTTACAGTAATATTTTACAAAGCCAGCAATGTACGTTTCAGTAAATGTCCTGCTTTCCTCCCTGGCAGACGGCGACGCTCTGACGGCGCCACAACGGCGGACGACCCTCGCTCCACCATGGCATTAGAGGAATCACTACAGGATTACATACTTCCGTATTGATGGAAGTTCACGTATATTATTTTGTGTATATGACGGCGTTAACGATATTACTGTTTAGCACGTGCAATAGGAGTGACTCACACAAGCCAGGTGCGCCGGCCGTGTCGTTCGACTCATAAACAACAGGTGCAACAGAAGTGACTCATAAATAAGCCAGCTGCGCCGGCCAGTATAAAAAGGCGGTACGTGGCTCGCAATGGACATTGGTTGGACTGCGCTTGCCTGGTGCACTTACTATATCCTTGTTACGTTGTGTGATTCAGTGACTGTTGTACGTACTGGTTAAAGTTGGACAAGTGTGAAAGTGAATTGTTAAGATAACATATTGTTGATTAAATCAGGAACCAAAAATTGACATCGTTTTACTTGGTGTTCAACAAGATAATGTCTACCCTCAAGCTTACATCAGAAGTGAGATCAGGACTCTACTCTCACTGGCGTGACGTGTTTGAACATGTTCGAAGTACAGCAAAAAAACATGATGCAGATCAGAATACTAGTAATGGTACGCCACAAGAGCGTGAATGCAGCATACGTAAGTCTTGTAATAACGTCTCTGTTACCTTGATGGAAGATCTGAGCCACGAAGAAATCATCACATCTTACGTTCTGGCTCATGTTGCCCAGTTTGACTGTCGACTTCATCACATGGCATTTACTAGCGGAAATACAACACGTAACAAGCTATTGCAAGAAATTAAGGCAAGTGCAAATCTCAAGTGAAACTTCGATCGCAATAATGGATCTGTCATGACGAGTGGGTAGTTCCGACAAGAATTATTTTAAGCCGCTGACTTCTGCTAGAGTTACATGGCACTAGTGCAGTAAACCAGGACATGAGACTGTGAATTGTCGCTGAAATTTTAGAATCTACTAGATTCAATACCAATAACACTACACGTTCAATGACTTCGGGCTCCAGCAAGCAAGCAAACAAGAAAGCAAGCAAGTTTCCGTGGGGAAGAAAAATTGACACATCTGAAGTCGTCGTGACCTGTAAGATAAGACGTCCGGTGCGTTCGTGTCTGGCGATGCGGCGGTGTTCGGGTTCCGCTGGCGGATGCAGGTTTTTCCGGTGAAGTGCGTGCTTGTGCGTGCTTGACAAGTGTTCGCGGTTGGCTTCCTCAGTGTGGGAGTAACATCGTGTAAGAGAGGTGGAACCCGTAAAATTGTAGTTTGCGTGGTGGCTGGTAAGATTTGTTGCGGTAAGAAGTTTGCATGGTGGTAAAATGTCTTGTGAGTCTGCACAGGTAGCCGGAGGTGAGACTTCCGCGGTCGCGGCCCACCCAGTCCGCGAGAACCGGGCAGATCGCCTCGACGGTACGGAGGCCGGCCGACGGGTCCGCCAAACGACGAGACCACGCCTCCAGCACGGACTGCCGATATTGGAGCCCCCGCGCTCCGGCTGCACTTGCGCTAGGGCGCGCCGCCTCGTAGGAGACTGTGAGGTATCATTGAATAACTCTGACTGCGATCGCGCGCTGCCGGCGTCGCAGCGCGGCGACGTTCTCGTGGGTAAGGACGTGGCACCAGACGGGTGCTCCGTATAGTGCCATCGACCGCACGGGTACCATCACCCTGCCTATTTCTGCCGTGAAGCAGTGGTGTATTTCGGTTTGAAGGGTGGGGCAGCGGTTGTAACTATACTGAGACCTTAGAACTTCTATCTCAAGGTGTGTGGTGCGTTTACGCTGTGGATGTCTATGGGTTCCAGTAACCACTTAACACAAGGTGGGCTGTGAGCTCGTCCACACATTAATACGAAGAGCATAATCAAACGAAATTAGATACGAAGTTTAAAGGGCCGTTTAAAGTAGTTGAAGTATTGGATGGTGTCGATTTAATTTTGACTCTCACACATTCGCTTAAGGCTCGAGCTGCTACTTGCCTCACAAAAATACAGCCTGCAAAACCTGAACAACCTCCTCATCCGTGGGCGCCCGGCTCTCGCCTGCAAGTCGGCTGTTACGTGTGCGGTGATGCGAGCCATGTAGCTTCTGGGTGTTCCATGCGCTACAAGAAGAAAAACGACACTGCTCCAGGTGCTGTGGCAGGTCCAACCAGAGACGTCAACGTGTGTTCCAGAGCTTCAGTGTGTTACAGATAAGTGGTTTTGGCTTCCCCTTTATGTTCCATTCAGGGTCAGAATGTAGTCTTATAAAACAAAGTCATAGTAATTTATTCAATGGTAAGCGGTTTCATGAACAAGTCACTCTTTGATCTGAAAGTAACTTAGACCAATCATGATGGCAAGAGCACTTAGGGGATATTCAACTCGCCCTTAATAGTGCACGTTGTCGAGTAACAGGGTTTACTCCAATAGAATAGACGTTTGCCGTTCAGGGTAGTTCACTTGAAATATCTAAAGTTTCAACAGAGTGATAATCCCTCTAGATTAGATCTTGATTTAGCACGGTCGAAGACCGGCGAAAACATAAAAAAAGGGCACAAACAGAAGCTTGGTTTAGTCGAGGCAAAGCTAAAGTCAAACTCTTTTCCGCTGGGGATTTTGTTTTCGTAAGTTGACCGAAAATGTAAAGGTCCCTTCAACATTACTGCAGTTTTGGAAAACGATAGGTATAAATTGAGACATGTAAATAGTTCTAATAGAGTGTACAAATTTCCCCATGAAAACTTACGTGAAATACCTCGAGGCCCGTCAGGCCTACTAGAAATTTCTGAAAATTATAGTGACGATGACGTGACGGCGTACACAGATGGGTTAATTAATCTTGTTCATGAAACTGATCTTAATGATGACGACTCTATCACTGACAATAGAAGCGACATTTTTGTCCGCAAATAGCGATACAGCAAACATAGTCTGTGGGTAGTGATACAATGTCTGTAAGCTCAGGCACCTCAGGTGCAGGTGTTGGAAATGTAGAAAACGATGGTCGGTCTCGCACTATTTCTGAAGAAATTCCGTATAAATGTTCTGGTTTAAGAAATGTTTTAACAAACGCTACCGTACACGCAGATTAAAAAAAAAAAAAAAAAGAAAAAGAGAATTGTATGTGGCTAGAGAGATGTTAATCCGGACTAGCAAAAAAAAAAGAGAAAAAAAAGTGTGAAGTCATTGAAGGGTCTGTCCGGTCCAATGGCTTGGCTATAGGGATTTTCATCCAGATTAGCCACAACAATTAGCTACAGGGATTGCGATTCGGTCTAGCATTATCCGGTCCAGTTCGAAAAACTGAAGGGATAACAATTCCGGTCTAAGTTAAAAGGGACATACTTACATACCTGAAGAGTTTTAAATGAACTGGCCCAGGTATGTAAGCAGTCTGAAGGTTATTTATAGCCAGTATAGGATTTTCTGAAGAATTATGCGAACCGAACCGTACTAGATTGTTAATATCATAGACCACGTTTTAAGTTGCATCCGTTAATGTCAGGATGAACGAACACGTTTGTTGTTCACAGACATACCATAAGAATGCGCGCACGAGGACGAGCGCACGTCAGTATGGCCGTGACGGCGTTAACGATATTTATGTTATATAGCACGTGCAATAGGAGTGACTCACACAAGCCAGGCGCGCCGGCCGTGTCGTTCCACTCGTAAACAACAGCTGCAACAGAAGTGACTCA